TCTCCCCCTCCCCCATCGCTAAAACGTCTCTCCAAACAACTTCTTCACAATTTAATTGCTGCTGTGGACTTTGTTGTTGTTGTGGTTGTTGTTGCTGTGGATGTTGGCCCCCTCCTGTAGTTGTTGCCACACAAGTTTGTTGTATTACCTGTTGACAAAATTGCTCTCCTCTGCCTGCACCAACATCCGGCAAATTCTCGAGAGTTGCCACAACCCCACCCCACCCCAGGCAGGCAGCGACTACTAATGGCAACTTTTGAGTTGGCTTTAATTAAACAAACTTCCATCGGAGGCTAACCAGGCGTGTGAACTAGGAAATTGCCAGCGCAAAACTAATAAATATTTCGCATATACCCGTACAGTAAACCCTCCGGATATAAAACCAGAAGGCGATTAGGTTTGCAGCCCCAAAAAAAAAGTTTTTTCTAATAAAAGATTACTTTTTGGCAATTTTTTGACCTTTTTTGTTTTTTATAAGAATTTTTTATAAGTGGTAGTTTTTTTTTGTATTTTATAAGTGGTAGTTTGATTTTTATCAAATTTTATTCTTTGAAAACCAGAAATTTGTTTAAGCAACAACTGATAATTCCTAAGATTATTGTATTTGGACTGATCCGATAATCCCATAATACTTGGTGCCAATTTTTCGTAAAGAAAGCTTTAAAATTTCAGGCAAAAGGCGGCAAAGAATTAGAAAGACAGAAGGATCGGCTGTTATCATGAATATAGAGTAGAACCTTTATAAAACTAAGGGCAACATCGTTTCGGGAGTACCTTAAGTACAACTCTGTAAGACGAAGTCTCCATAAGTCGATCTTTGGATAATAGTGGTTCGACTTATGAAAGTTCAACTGTACTGCAATACTCTATGGATGCCCAAAATTGTAATGGAATATTCCAGCTTTTTCTTCCACATTTTTCAAAAAATTTCCTTAATAAAACAGGTGTTCTTTTTGAGCGACTACTGTTATAAGTTCGTCTGTGGAATGGCATTGAAAATGAAAGGCAAAAATTTGCATTCCAATGCGCATGCTTTGATTTAACTGAATATTGGCAAAAACAGTGTTTGCGTTTCCCACACAAAAACGGAGAGCTCCGCAATTACCAGAGGATTGTATTTTTGTAAATTTAATTGGCCTGGAGGCAGGGTCAAAAGTGCAGGGAGCCGGGTAGCAAGTGTGGCCTTGAACTTTGAGCTGTGGATTTAGCCGTATCATAAAGCGGGCTTATTACGATGGAGTGGAATGGAACAGAGTGGCGTGGAGTGGCTTGGAGTCCGCAATCAGCTCCAATCAACTCTGCCGGCGCCTAATTGGCCGTTTGCCTTTAAAGGCAACACCCGTCTTGACATTTGCCTGTGTGTCTGTCGCCCACCACATCCGTTGACGGTCCGGGCCCGGACCCGGGCCCAACCCAGCATTTGGCATTCTTTTTGGCCAAAAACTTGGCTTTAAGCTGTACTCGAGGTCTAAGCAAAGGTAAACAATTCAAAGAGCTTTTGTTGGAGTCGAAGTCAACTGCTGTTTTGCATATTCTTGAGGCGGAGGAGGGCCCAGAACTCTGGCAGGTGTATGCGCATATTTCTATATATGTATACTCGTGTTTACATAAAGATAAATATATAAATAAACACCCGAATGGGGGCCAAGTAGTCCGCTGTCTCGGCCACGCATAAATCTCACGTGCAAATGTGGAACAAACTTCGTCTCTCTCTCGGGCATCGCCTCTCCGTTTCCGTCTCTGCGGAGATCTTCCAACCATTCCAACCCATCTCATCTTTCGTTTCATTTCATTTCATTTCAATTTCGTGTTTTGGCGTTTCGTTTCGATTGCTTTCCTCCAGCTTTAATGCGAATCAACATGTGGATGGATGATTAAATTTAAATTCGGTTCTGGCTGTGAATCAGCGGATGGTAACCCACATTCCGCTTCTCTCCAGTGTTCCCAAACATTCCATGGATTCTTCTCTAATGAAAAACCTGCCCCGAAACAGACTGCAGCCCAAAACAGTCTGGCCAAGAACTTTTGTGCGGCCGAAAACCAGTTGGCCTCGATTGGCAGACGGTCAAGCTAACTGTTTTCGGGCTGCCTGCAACCGCACCACACCACACGGATCCGATCAGATTAAAGCAAATACAGAATGCCAGAATGCAAAATATCGAAATGGGTTGCTGCCGCTGGAATGGAACGGGAACGGGAACGGGTTTCCAGGCACTCGGGCAATTGGCCAGATACAAGCGTTCTACCACTACCACAGCAGGGACGGCCGTCAGAGAGTTCGCATCGATTAATTTGTAACGCCCACTGACAGTTTTCGCCAAACTGTCTGTCTGTCAGTCAGTCAGCCAGGTCGTCGTCGTTGTCTAAGCTCTGACCGACTTTGCAGCTAACGAGCCACGTCCTCTCCTCCAGCATCGGCCACACTGGTACATCCTGGCCCGCATAAATTAGCCATTTTGGTCTGGAGCTTAGAGCTCTTGCAGGAAATTTATGTAGATTTATTTGTGTGTAACACTTTTGCCGGCTGCAGCATTGATATCTCTTTTGCCATCGCCATAGCGGGCCAACGGCGGCATTCCTTGGGCCAGGCCGAGAGCCAAACTTGAAAAATAGCCTCAAGATGTTGTCTGTTTTGTTGTTTTCTGTGGCATTCCATTTCAGGTTGCCCATTTGCCATCTTCAGCGGGCGAGCAGGACAAACGTGGGACAAACGACTTCTATATATGGCCAAATGGCCCCCACAATTTGTCCTCCTCCACCGCCTCCTCCGTACCAAATGTGTTTCACTTTTACGCTCAATCATATCCCGGATGATTGAAAGAGGCCCAGGCATAGGCGATCTCTGATCCGCGGGGCTGCTCTTCCTGAGAATGGGCACAGCTCACTCGCTGGCCTGGCCATAAATAACTGGCCAATCGATGCCGCAACTGCAAAATGCAAATGAGTGAAAGATACAAAATCCAAACAATTAACGAAAAAAAACAGAAACCGAAACAGTAACAGAAATAGACGTAAAGTAAAGTAAAGTAAAGCAAAAGCAAAGGCAAACGGTAACCAAACCGCGAGCCCGGTCTACAATTTATGTGTAACAATGCGGGGCAGCAGCCGAAGCAGAGGGAGAGAGAGAGAGAGGGGGAGAAACACGGCAGCAACATTTAGCAGCCACAGTTATGCAATTGGCCATGCCATGCTCTGCTTTGCCCCCATGTACCCCTTCCCCCCACCCCTTGATGCCAATTGTTTGCTGCGACCGCATTGCACAAAGCCAAGATTTATGCATATTAACGTCAAGTCAAAACGCTGACCCAAAACTGGAGACCCCCAGAGCAGCGGCAGCACCAGTGGCAGGCTCTGGCAAGGGGCATCTTCTCCACCAGCTGATGCAGAAATCAAGCGTGGCAACACTTAACAATGGGTCAACTTTCCTTGGTGTTTGGCGTTGATAAATGTGAACCGAGGGATGCCCCAAAACTGTGGCAGCAATGAGCTCGTTTGTTGTTGTTGCAGTTGTTGTTGTCATCTTCATTGTTTTCTTAGTGGGTGTTGCCGCAACAGCAACCGCACCGGCAACACTTTCCCAATTAGGCGTTTAAATACGTGTTTTTGGGCCCACAGTGACACACATATATAGACACTTATAGCCATACACAGAAGTTAATGGCTTAAAGACATACAGATTGTGGCCTGTGTAGTGCCAGGTGGCAGTAAAGTGGTGCACAAGAAACGCCCCATGAGATCTGATGGGAACAAAGCGGGAGAAGGGAATGCCCAAGAGAACAAAGGCCCAAGAGGCATCCAATAGGACAGTCATCATTTGGTGTTGGATAATTGGAACCCCAACAACAGAACTTATCTGAATCTAGTGACTCCCTTTAATTCGGTGGAGTACTTGCTGTTTAAGATCTGTCAATGATAGGCCTCCCACCGCAGAGAGAGCCATATATGGTGGTTCCAAACCCACAGCCGTACTAAGCCATAGATCATAGATTTATCGGTACCAAATAAACAGACATGATCTGTTACAGAGACAGACAGCAATTGGCTGATATAATCACAGAATAATGGCCAAAACAGCTGGCCCACATTTCAGGCGAAAAGATTCCATTCTAAGAACACATTTTCCCCCATAAAAGCTAGCCACTTAATTGAATTAATTCACTAAATTCTCAAAAAATTCGCTTAGTTTTAGAGAAACTTTCAAAAGATGACTAAGGAAACAATCAGAATTTATTATAATTGTTGATTTTTTTAACCAAAAAAGGAAACCAGTTTGCCTTTGGAGTTATTTTCTGCCATCAATTATTCAGCTTTCGGTCTGTGTGTGGATTTTTGTTTGAATTTCCTTGGTTTTTGTTGCACATGTTGCAAGTGCATGCGGCACAGGGCGGTGTCTGCCAGTTTGGAAAGTCATTTGCAGGCAGGCGACAAAATCAAAAAGACAAGAGAAAGACTAACTAACTAACAAAAACACAGAGACAGTCAGAGAGTCAGCGATTACCCAACAGCAGAGGGGCTGACATCAGCGCTGGATGAAGGAGGCTCTGGGTGGGCAAGGGGTTGGAAGGGGAAGATGGATGTGACAAATACAGTTAGTTAATTATGGAGGCTATTCCCATCCTGGCCAAATCAATACCAAAGCCATAAATAGCTGCCCACGAAGTCTGTGTCTTTGCAACATCATCATTGTCTGCAAATTTCAATAATTCCATTATCAAGACGAAGATTGATTGATAAGTTGTTGTCTGGCCAAAATGGCTGGCAATGATTTCAGTTGCTGGATGACCACATGGCCACCAGCGAGCCACCAATTGCTGCCTTTGCTGGTTGCTTAATCGAGATATTGAATCAGAAGCGGCAGGCGGCAAGGAGAGTGAAAGTTAATTGAGGACTTGTGCAATACGTAGTATTTGCGCAGAAAGAAAGAAGGAAAGAAAGTTTTGTTTATGAACCAACAACAGCCATTACTCACACGCTCTACTCGTTACTCTTTTCTCTTGCAGAATATGGCCTAAGACTGTTCGGGAGTAACAGGCAGAACTTGCAACAGCTAAACAGCTAACAGCCAGCACCATGTCGTCCTCGATTTGCTCACACTTTACGCAGAATGCTTGGAAGAAGGATCTGTGCTCCAACTGCTTCAAGTCCAAGGACGAGCACAAGGCAGCCGCAGCAGCAGCCGCCTCCAAGCAGCAGGGGGGGGCCAGCAGCAGCCACAAACAGCCAGAGGTGCAGCCCAAGACGGACTATCCCAACAAGCACAGGACCCCGGCCAAGAGCATCATCAAGAAGGCCTTCGGGGTGAGGCTGACCAGCAGCAAGTCGAGCGGAAGCGGCCACAGCAGCTCCAAGAGCGGCAAGGTGTGCTTCCCCAAGCAGCTGCACGAGATCATTGGCTATGGGGGGGAATGGTCGGACGACGACGATGACGACGATGACGATCATGACTTTATGAATCTCGGCAACGAGCACGATGACATGGCCATCACGGAGACCGACGACGAGGAGACCATTGAGCTCAAGCGGATTACGCGTGCCAACACCGACTTCAACATGAACAATGGCAATCTGCTGGGCGATGCCCAGGAGAACATCAAGAAATCGTTCGCGGCCCTCAAGCTGGGCGCCCCCCAGGTGGACAAGGAGGGCAAGAAGCAAACGCTCACCATCAATGTGATGCCCTTTGGACAGCCCCTAAAGGGATCATCAGCCAAGGCGGCAACAGGGCCAGCGCCAGGGCCAGCAAAGGGTGCTCCCCAGGAGAGCAAAACTACGGTGACAGCGGCCACCACAGCCAAGGCCAAGACGGCCACAATAACCACAGCCATCAAGAGCAGCAGCAGCAGCAGCAGCAGCACGGTTACCAAGAAGGTGACCACCACCCTAACGCCCACGCTGACCATGGCCAAGGTCACGCCAGCCGCCACACCCTCGCGGGACGGCAAGGCCAGTCCGCCCATAGAGCGAGCCATGGAGAAGTCCCTGCTGGACGAGATCTCCGAGACCCTGGAGCAAAAGCAAAAGCAGAGCGAACAGATCACAGCGGCCGCAGCCACAGCCACCGTGGCAGGTGGCAACAACAACAGCAACAGCTCCTCCTCTGCCTCGTCGACTGCCAGCTGCAACAAAATCAAATTCGAGCTGAGCGCCCTGAGCGACTCGCCGAAGCCATTTCTCGACCTTAAGAAGCCCATCGCGCGGAACGCGCCCATAACCAAGGACCACGCCAAGCCGCGGGTGAACGTCTGCCACAAGTACTCGGACACGGACAGCAACTGCTCGGACACGGAGAACGGGGTGTCGGCCTACTACGATGTGGTGGAGACGCAGCTCAGCTACGAGAATCTGCCCGATGGCAAGTACAGCGAACAGGTGGGCGTGGCCAGTGCCGCCCCGGCGGAGAGCAGCGCGAGCACGGCCCACTACTCGAGCTCCCAGTACATCACGGACATGCTGCTCAGCTCGAAGACGCGGGCGGCCAGCTACAACCTGCACGAGGGCAACTTCATGACCAGCAAGATCACCTCCGACGGCCTGATCGTGACCAAGTGCAGCTCGGACGATGCCCTGGACTCCACCGGCAGCAGCTTCGACGGCAGCTCCGACGAGGAGAACGCCTACAACATGATCCGCAGCGAGTCGGACTCGGGCATTGGCATCAGCATCGGCAGCGAGTACAAGAATGCGGGCGGGGCCAAGGGAGCCGGAGCCGCCGGCCAGCTGCTGGTGGAGAAGAAGCTCAGCGCCAGCACCAATAACTCCGACTACGAGGACATCCAGATTGGAGACCAGGCGGCGCCCAAGCCGGCGGTCAAGAGTCGGGAGCTGCACGGCGAGCCCGACGGCAGTGCCGATCCGGACAACAGTCTGGAGCAGAAGCAACAACAGAAGCAGCCACAGAAGGAGACGGAGGCCACTGGACAGCAGCTGCCGGCGCTGCCCAAGTCCCCGCCGCCACCCATGAAGATGGATGCCCGGCCCTCGTTCCTGCACGGCCTCAAGAAGCCAGAGCTCCCGGCCAAGCCACAAGTCAACAACAGCAACAGCAACAACAACAGCAGTCCTGGGGGAAGCCTCAGCGCGGGGCACACGCCACTGAAGAGCTTCTTGGGGAGCAAGCGGCAGCCGAGCTGCGCCGAGCAGCAGTTCATCACACAGCTGCAGTCGGCCATCTCCAAGTCGAGCGAGAATCTGTTACTTGCCGCAGCCGCAGCCTCGGCCTCAGCCTCGGCCGCTGACTCAGCGAAAGATGCGGAGGCAAAGCTAAAGAAGGGCAAAGCACCGAATCCGCCGCCAGAGCCAAAGCTGAGCGCTCCGCCCACGCCAGAGCGCGACTACAGCCTGGTAGTCGAGTTCGAGCAGGCCTCGAAGGTGGCCGCAACGGAGCCATCGCTGACATCGCCATTGTCATCGGCCAAGCCAGCGGAAGCGGCCACGTCAGCCAGTGCCAGTGCCAGTGAGACATCCGCCGGGGAGACCACTCAGCCGCAGTCCACACCCACACCCACACCCCCAGCAGCAGCAGCCGTAGCGGCGGCCATCAACAGCAGCCTGTATACGAGGAAACCACCGCTGCCGGTGGCGGCCGGAGGAGCACCCGTCATCCGGGAGAAGGACAAGCGCGAGCGGGCCGTCATCAATCCCAAGTTCCGGAGCCTCAACACCTTCGTCATGCAGCGAGCCAATGCGGCCAAGCAGCTGCAGATGCAGTCCGCCAGCTCGGTGCTGAATCTCAAGCAGCCACTCACGCCGGAGCCGATGCCGCGCAACCACCGGCACCTGTCCATGTCCGAGGAGTGCCTGGCCGCCGCCGGGCTGGCGGACAGCAAGAAGTCGCCGCCGTCGTCGTCGTCGTCGAACTCCTCGCCGCCCCAGAAGCAAAAGTCCAAGTTCTCCATCAAGAAGTTCCTTCGCATGGGCAGCAACGGCGGCAGCAAGTCCTCGGATCCGCTGCACAAGAAGGACTCCAGCATCTACACGGAGATCTGCACGGGCGACGATGGCAGTGTGCCCGGCAAGCCGCGACTCGTCATCATCCATCCGATCGACATCAATCCCACGGCCGTCGAGGTGGTCAAGGACATCACCAAGACCAGCGATGCGGTGTCCTCCCAGACGGTGGCCGTCGTCACGGCCAAGCCCCCGGCTCCGCCCCTACGCGCCAGCGAGGGACAGCGTGCCCATGAGGCCAACAAGCCGGCACGCCCACCGCCGCCCAAGAGCGCCGAGCTGCGACGCAAGCAGAAGACCGAGCTGACGGCCACGTTGAGTGGCAGCAGCGTGGACTCTGCCACGACTATGGTGGCCAGCACCGGATCCATCAAGCTGAAGGCCGACAATGTCTATGCGAATTTGGGTAAGTGTTGCACGTTGCACAGGGGACAAGGGACAGGGGTTCTGGGGCACACTGGAAATTCCATTTATTGTACAAATCTGGCCCCAATCCGTGATGCGTGGGCGATCGAATTCCAAAAGAAAGCGTAAGCAAATCACGTTCAGAAATCAGAGCGACCTTCAAAAGTGACAAGCCTGAAGGGTCTCCACTTCACCTACTTCCCGCCGTGCGGCATCCAACTTGTTGACGCCAGAACACGAATGAAATCACCTTAAATGGTAAAAGCAGCAGCACCGCATCGGCATCACGGCTGAAAGTAGAACCCGAAACCAAACTCAGAACAAGTTACGCATTTTAATCAATATAACGGGCACAACGAACACCGAGGGGCCCGCACACACACACAGACGGCACACAGAGAGCCACTTATGACCATATCCGCCACATCCACATGATGAGCCACGGAGCCATGGAGCCAGCCATTCAGCCATTTACCCGGCTTTAACTGGGTTAAGTGGCCAAAGCCAGAGAGCAAAATAGTTTAACAGATGAGCGGCGACAACAACAACAGCAACAACAAAAATCGAAATGAAAATAAGTCAGAGCCAAAGCCAAAGCCACAGCCAAAGCCAGTTCCAGATCCCAGCCAGTCCAGGTTTTAGGCCAACTAGCTAACCACATGTTGATGGGAGACCAGAGACCAGAGAGGGAGACAAACATTAGAACTGGTGAAACTGGCGGTGGCCAGAGAGACCATAGACCAGAGACCAGAGACCGACCCATTTCTTACCGCCTGACACTTTGCGGTCAGTGTGAATGCGGCAAGAACTTGTTACACCTGCTGCTGCACCTGGCAGCCATGAACCGCAGCCATTTGTTAGCCATCTCCGACGACACCGAGCGCCAGCACTGTGCGAATTGTAATTTGGCACGAATTTGGGTCAAAATCGCAATTAGTACTCACAGGTTGTCTAGCACGAGGTGCGGAGAGCCGCAGAGAAGTTATTTGTCGATTTTCAACAGCTGTTTGGCACTGTCCCATGAAGGACAGATTTAAGTAGGGTCTATCTCTGGGGTAACGAAAGACTTGTGCCACCTCCCGACACCTTGTTTTTGGGTAGAGATAGAACTGGAAAAAAGCCATCAAACATTTACCCTTAACTTCTATTTCCTTAGGAGAAATCCGCTCCTCGATAGCCCCACGCAAGCCCGAGCGTACGGCCAGCATGAGGGAGCGCGAGGCGCAGCTGGAGCTAGTGCGGAAGCGGGGAATACTAACCGATACTATCTCCATTTGCTCGTCAAACGGTGAGAATGTAACAACGGATCCAACCAAGTCGTCGCTCAAGACGAACAACCACGGACAGGATGGGGGAAAATCATTGAATGTGGCCTCCACGGCCAACAGTCGGACGAGCACCTTTGAGCGCCAGCCGCAGAAGAAGAGCGAGCCGAAGATGGCCATCTCCAGCAAGCTGGAGATCTTCGAGCAGCGATCCAGCGATGCCACGGACACGGCGGCCCAGCGCAGCAGCCTCAAGGATTCGGTGCGCAAGATCAACAGCACCATCGACAGCTATCTGAAGGACAAGCGCGACTATGAGAACCTGTACGAGTTCGTGAAGATGGGCAACGGCAGCACATCGCCACAGCCCCCAACGGGAGCCACTGCGCCGGCCACAGCATCGATGCCACCGCCACCGCCCACACGCACCAACATCGATCTGGCGGCAGTGGCGGGACAGCGCCTCACCCAGGCCACGCGACGCAACAACAACATCTACTCGGACACGGCCTCCATAGCCAGCTACACGCGCAGCGAATACGGACCCGTGCGCCACTACGGACTGAACAACAGCTTGGGTAAGTGATCCCGTGGTCCTATTTCGTATATCGGGAATAACGTATCTCTCCGTTAGCCAACATTCCACGGATGATCTCTGCATCGTATGCGGGCAGCGAGGTGGGAGAGTTCGATATCTATGCGCCGTACAGCTACTACGGCAGCGAGGCGGGCGGCGATGTGGCCACGGATATCAATGACAGCGTCTGGGGCATGCCACAGGTAGGTGGCTAGTATCTATTCGGATATCCTTTAGTAACTTTTGGTGATTCGCAGGCAAACAAGAACCGCAGCAAGGCCACGAATCGTTTGCGCATGCGCAAGGGACGCAGTGTCGTGCACAAGACCATCGAGGATAACTACACCGCCGTGGTGGTGGCCAATCATGAGGCCCTCGCCCAGGTGCTCGATCAGGTGAGAGTACAACACAGTTTCTGTGGAAGATCTTGGACTAAAGACTGTACTTATCCTTTCTGCAGCTCCAGCAAACTCCAGTGGTTCCAGCGGCACTGCGACCTCTGGCCAATGCCATCAACTTGCGCTACGAGGACTTTACCATCCTGGAGGGTGCCCAGGCATTTGTCGTGGGCAAAAAGGCCTTCCATGCCGCCCTCTGGACCTCATCGCCCGTTACCCTGGCCCTGTCCGCCGACTGCAATCAGCTGTCCGGCGTGGGAGGTGAGCTGAGCCAGTTGACTGGCGGCGTCAGTGAAGTGCTCAATCCCATAACCGAGTTCTGCGACCTGGTGCCCAGCTACCAGCTGCCGCTGATGCCCTCCACGGAGGTGACCCTGCTGCAGGCCACCATCTCGGTGTTGCCGCGCCTCCAGCTGGAGACACTGCAGTCGATTGGGGCCATACTCAAGGGCAAGTCGCAGGTGCTGGACAAGAGCAACTTCAACTTCCGCGGCTCCATTCCCAACCTGAGCGGCCTGAAGGACGCGGCCGCAGGCAGCGCCCTGAGGAACGTGGTCTCTGTGCAGAATCTGAGTACGCTGAACGAGGAGTCCATAGGCACGACCAGTTCTGGAGAGGATGGCACGGCCAGTGCGAGTGCCATGCCCGCATTCGACGATGTGATGACGCGGGAGGTGGCCTTCATAATGCTGCAGCTGGTCAACGGGATGAAGAATCTGCAGGCCAAGGCCATTGAGGAGACGCCGCTGAGTCTGTCCAATGTGGTGCTGTCCAAGGACATGGACAACAAGGATGCCCAGGCGCGTCTCTGCGTGCTGCAGGGGTAAGACCAACTCCACTCATTTTTGCTTATCAAATAACTTACTGATTGACCTTCTGCCCTTCTAAAGCAACAACAACGAGGATGAGGAGCCGATGGGCACGCTCTGCAAGTGCGCCCACTCCGCCCTGACCGACATGCTGCCTGCCACCAAGATCACGCCCATTCTGGCGGACATCCTGCAGCAGGAGCGTGCCGAGTCGCTGTCCAAGGCCAAGTCCGTGCTGGAGTTTGTGCTGTGGGGCCCCTCGGACGTGGCCCTCACGGGCTCCGTCAAGGAGCGAGAGCTGGCCCTGCAGCGCTGGCTGGATCTGGAACGGGCCACGGTCCTCCATGGCCTGGTCCGCACCCGGGTCGAGCTGACCGTCTACGACGAGTGTCATCTGATGTTCCTCGTCCGTTCCACTGCCAAGATGATGAATGACGCGGCCAAGATTGTCTGCAGCTATCAGCAATCGACGTCGTCGGTTAGCCAGGACTAGCTACCGATGTTCTAGTTAACGTAACGCAATTCTTAAAGGAATTTTCATATATTTATTATACGAAATTGTCATAGACATTTAGTCCATAGAGTCAAAACATGATATATCATGATAAACATACGATAATCGAACCTTATACTTATACACCATTATCTTTGCCTAGCGTGCCAAATTGTTTCGCGCGGAAATTGTCATGTATAAATATACCTATTAAATGCATCCCTAAACGATTTGTGCAACTTTAATTAATTTGTAATCTAATTGTAAGTCATTAATCTATACGAATATTTATACATATATTATCGATATATGCATCTGCATATTATGTACGAGTACGATTATGTTAATAATTAATTTGGTTAGAAAAACAAATCATTTGGTGTTTGAACGAATATAAATACATACATATATGCATATATCTACACATGATTTACTGTATATCCCTATTGGTCTGCTCTGCAGTTAAATAAATGAATTCATTAAATCCCAAATAACAGAATCTTCTATCTTATCTGCTGCTTTCTATTTAAGCTTTTTATACACTATTTATACAAGAGGCTATATTAATAATGGCCAGCAGTTTGAAACGCATCTGGGACTGTATAAAGTATATACATATTCTAGATCTAGATGAATATGCAAGTCGATTTAGCCAGTTTCTATTCAAACTAGTCTCTCAGTTTTGAAGCTCATTAAGTCTCATGAATACACAGATCATTCGTCGAAACATAGCAGATCGAATGATATATAAATAAAGTATCGATAAAACCTACAAACATAAACATACATAAGGAACGACAACATCATATACATGTAGCTGTCATAGGGAAGGAAATATTGATAATGGCATGGAACAGGACCTACCTTTGAACATGTAGAATCTACAAACATAAACATCAATAAGGAACAACATCATAAAGCTGTCATATGAACGACGGTCCTGTTTCAAACCTACCTTTAAACATGTAGAACCTACAAACATAAACATCAATAAGGCTCTGAATTGTTGTCATGGAAAGCTTACCTTTCCCAACAATTGAAGTGTTCATATCTTTTGGCAAGTGCTGTAGAACCTGTATGCTATTGTTGACCAGCAAATTTCTAATCAGTTGTGCAACTGATTAGATAACATATTTGCAAGTCATCATGATACTCAAACATTTTCTAGGGAATGTTTGGGTATATTTTATTTGCCATTGTTTAAAGAATCGTGCAAAATCCTATAGAAAATTGATTCTCTTAAAGGTTAAAATCATTTGTCCGTTAAACATGGCGATGGAATAGCTCTTAAAATATCGCAAAACTGAACTTTAATTGTTGCATATCAAAAGTAATTCCATATTACTTAAATGTTGGTTATACGAATGATTTTCCATCTCTTTTATCGATTCCCGCAATGATTTCATTGCGAACTTTCCTACCATTAGAGCTTCAAAATTATGCACAATTGTTAGCCCAACCCAAAAAGAAGAGTATCCAAAGTTCGATACATTTATACGCTTAGTTTCAGAACAAATATAAATTTTTGCCAAACAATTCAAATTACCAAATCGCCTTTTCTGCGCCTCAGTTGAGGTTTTGTTTCGGACGAGTTAAGATCATAGAAAAGGCAAAAATATGTTGAAAGTCCGTAGTGGAATTGCCGTAGCTCACAAGCAAGTGGCGGCCGTCTCTCTCAGTGGACAGCAGGTTAGAGGATAGAAGCCGGCAATGATTTGGTATGTAAAATGCCTCAATACCGATCATTTCCAGCGCCGGAAGACCACAGCTGCTGCAGCTCTGACCAGAGACGATGCAGAGTGGCAGCAGGCGCGTCCCTTCAAGCAGGTGCCTCGGGCCAATTTGATGTCTCTGATTCCCAAAATGTTCATGCCAGGGGGAAAATATAAGAACAAGGACCTTGCGGAGTTGATAATGGCCATGCGCGAGGACTATGGCAGCATTCACGTTGTGCCAGGCATTATGGGAGGACCTCCCATGTTGAGTACACACAATCCCAAAGACTTCGAGGTAGTATTCCGGAACGAGGGCACGTGGCCAAATCGGCCTGGCGCCGACGCTCTTTTGTACCATCGGCAGACGCACAGAAAGGATTACTTTCAGGGCGTCGAGGGCGTCGCACCCACCCAAGGAAAGGCGTGGGGCGACTTTCGAACGGCTGTAAATCCAGTCCTCATGCAGCCCAAGAACGCGAGGCTTTACTATAAGAAAATGTCCCAGGTCAATCAGGAATTTGTGCAGCGGTAGGCCATTCCACAAATGTGTTTCTTTCAAAGCTTATTACATGTGTTCCATTAAGCATTAAATCCACCCGGGATGCCAGCACTCTAGAGGTTCCTCATAACTTCATAGACACCATCAATCGCTGGACCCTGGAGTCAGTCTCCGTCGTGGCATTGGACAGGCAGTTGGGACTGCTCAAGGAGTCGGACAAAAGGATCGAAGCCACAAAGCTTTTCCACCTCTTGGAAGATTTCTTTAAAGTATCTGCTGATCTGGAGCTGAAGCCCTCCGCCTGGCGCGTGTTCAAAACACCCAAACTGATGAAAATGATGAATATTCTCGACACCATTCTGTACATAATATCGGCATATATTGATGAGGCGGTAGAGCGATTGGAGAAGGAAGCCAAAGAGGGTGTGGTCCGTCCTGAGAACGAGCAGAGTGTACTGGAAAAGCTGCTCAAGGTCGACAAGAAGGTGGCCACGGTTATGGCCATGGACATGCTAATGGCCGGAGTGGATACCGTACGTACTTTGCAGGTCACGTAATGATCAGAGATTGATATAATAGGGTATTTTTCAGACCTCTAGCACATTTACAGGGGTCATGCTCTGCCTTGCCAAGAATCCCGAAAAGCAGGCCTTACTCCGAGAGGAGGTGATGAAGGTACTACCCCACAAGGACTCGGATTTCACGGAGGAATCCATGAAGAACGTTCCCTACCTGCGTGCCAGCATCAAAGAGTCGCATCGGATGTACCCGCTGGTCGTTATGAATGCCCGAGTTCTCAATCGGGACAGCGTTTTGAGCGGATACCAAGTGCCAGCTGGTACCTGTGTGTCGATGGTTCCCTTGAGCTTGCTATCAAGCGAGGAGCACTTCCCCAAGGCTGCTGAGTTCCTGCCAGAACGTTGGATACGTAACGCCACAGACTCCACCGGGCAATGCCCAGCGAATGACTTGAAGCTGAAGAATCCATTCGTGTTCTTGCCCTTCGGATTTGGACCCCGGATGTGCGTGGGAAAGCGCATCGTGGATATGGAGCTGGAGCTGGGCATCGCTCGACTCATTCGGAACTTCAACATCGAGTTCAATCACTCCACGGAAAAGGCCTTCCGCAGTGAACTGATCAGCTTTCCCAACATACCCCTCAAGTTCAAGTTCACGGATTTGGCCAACTGAGGCGTTCAAATATTAAATATTAGACGGGTGTCTTCATCGTACCGAATGTGTTCGATATACATACATACTCATATTCACGTTCTATTTTCCTATCTTCTATATACAATAAAATACATTTGATGCACATACATACATATGTACGAGGTTGTATATGTATGAATGCTTCCCTTTGTTTGCGGGCAGATAACAAAATATAAAAAAGCGCTAAAGATTAGCTTGTTTATATTATTATCAGGCCCAAAACTTTCGGCAGTCTACAGACCATTCCTTGCCCAATAAATTAAATTTCGCCAAAAAATCTGATGCCACTAGAAATTGTTCAATAACCTCGAAGTGTAATTTGCATTTATTTTCGGAATAATTATGGCTATTTATTTGCTTCATTTCATTGAGAGTCAGCTCAATCATAATAATATATTCCTAAATACATATTCCATAGAAGGTATAACATAGTCGATCAAATAGCAGTCTATATTAAAAAAAAATATGGCAAATGTTTACAATTATTTCTGTTTGGCATTCGCACGCTCCCGCGAACCTGTTTTGGCACTCTCTCTCTCTCTCTCTCTTGTTCTGTTTGTGCTCTGTTATCGGTCAGCTCTTTTTGCAACAAAGCTCCCGCATGCCTTTGAAATAGGTAGCTAATGGAATGATTTAGCAGTATAGCTCTGGCAGTGAATGAATTAAGTTCCTAACAAGCAAAATGTTGAAAGTGCGCAGCGGTCTATCTATAATTCAGGCGCAAAAAGCAGCCCTCTCTGTCCGCTGTCCGCTGGTAAATATATAGTATACATATAGATCTGATATCACAGTGATATACGTTTTTGAATCTCCTGCAGCGTTGGCAGACCACAGCAGCTGTAGCAGAGCCCAGAAATGATGAAGAGTGGCTACAAGCTCGTCCCTTTGAGCAGATTCCTAGTACAACTTTTCTGTCGACTGTGCGGAATTTTATGCCTGGAGGAAAATATAGCAAACTGGACATTGTGAAATTGTTCAAGGCTTTGCAAACCGACTATGGAAACATATTATATTTACCAGGTATGATGGGAGGTACGTCATACCTGATGACTCACAATCCCAAGGACTTCGAGGTCGTGTTCCGGAACGAGGGAGTATGGCCCAATCGACCTGGCAGCGATACTCTTCGCTATCATCGGAAGACTCATAGAAAGGATTTCTTCCAGGGAATGGAGGGAGCTATACCCACACAAGGAAAAACCTGGAGCGACTTTCGATCGGCTGTAAATCCTGTCCTCATGCAGCCGAAGAACGTGCGGCTTTACTATAAGAAGATGTCCCAAGTGAACCAGGAGTTTGTGCAACGGTGCGTATGACTGAAAACAAATTCGAGTCTATGTTCAATGGTCTTCTCCATTCGCAGTATTAAAACAATCCGTGACGTCGACACCCAGGAAGTTCCTGATGATTTCATAAGCATTATAAACCGGTGGACCCTCGAATCAGTCTCTGTGGTGGCTCTGGACAAGCAGTTGGGACTGCTCAAAGAGTCGGACGATAACGACCAGGCTGTGTTACTTTTCAAGTACCTGGACGATTTTTTTGAATTAACAGCCGATCTGGAGATGAAGCCCTCCATCTGGCGTTACTTTAAAACACCCAAGCTAATGAAACTAATGAAGGCACTGGACGGCGTTCAAGAAGTAACCTTAGAGTATGTAGATGAAGCTATAGAGCGTCTAGAGAAGGAGGCCAAGGAAGGAGTTGTCCGCCCTGAGAGCGAGCAGAGTGTACTGGAAAAGCTGCTCAAGATCGACAAAAAGGTGGCGACGGTTATGGCCATGGACATGCTAATGGCCGGAGTGGATACCGTAAGTAGTCTGTTGATCTCATACTTACCCTTATTTCATACATCCTCTTTTTCCAGACCTCAAGTACATTTACAGCGGCCTTGCTGTGCCTTGCCAAGTATCCGGAGAAACAGGCCATACTCCGAGAGGAGGTGATGAAGGTTCTACCCGAGAAGGACTCCGAGTTCACTGAGGCATCGATGAAAAACGTTCCCTATCTACGTGCCTGCATCAAAGAGTCACAACGGATCTATCCTTTGGTCATCGGCAATGGCCGAGTTCTCAATCGGGACAGCGTTTTGAGCGGATACCAAGTGCCAGCTGGTACCTGTGTGTCGATGATTCCCCTGAGATTGCTATCAAGCGAGGAGCACTTCCCCAAGGCTGCTGAGTTCCTGCCAGAACGTTGGATTCGTAACGCCACAGACTCCTCCGGAGTATGCCCGGCAAATGACTTGAAGCTGAAGAATCCGTTCGTGTTCTTGCCCTTTGGATTTGGACCCCGGATGTGCGTTGGAAAGCGCATCGTGGACATGGAGCTGGAGCTAGGCATCGCCCGACTCATTCGGAACTTCAACATCGAGTTCAATCATCCCACGGAGAACGCTTTCCGCTCCGCCATGATCAGTTTGCCCAACATACCGCTTAAGTTTAAGTTTACCGACTTGCCCAATTGAAGAATAATTTTTTTAGCCTGTACTAAAATAGTAAAGGACTATATTAGATTCGTGTATATGTAACTGTGTATATAATCGTATTTGTAAAATAAAGTATGTATATTTTATCAGCATCACTAGTCAAGTTCATATTTTTGATAATCTGAATAAAAGCGGACCATTATTGTAGTTTCTCTGCTTCGTCTCGCTATCTACTTCTTCCTAGACCAGTGGCGCCACCTGGTGGAGTGAGCGAGATGTATCGGAATATAAACAGCTGGAATACTAAAAGGAGGATAAAGCAGTGCAGTTATATTCAGTTATTCAGATCATCAATAATAAAGTTGCATATATGTACTACATATTTATGCAAACTGAGTACTGGGTAGAATAGTGTCGCGGTTTGAAAAGTGGATTCTCAGTATTTTGCGATAAGATAACTTTTTCAAGAATCTAAAGCTCTGTGGACATTTGGACGAGGCTTAGGCAAGACAGTTCACATCCGTCTAATTGATCTGCCCTTATAGATCTATTTGAATATACTAAAAATGAGTCAGTCTTAGCTCCAAGTTGTTCGAGCAACGATCAGCTGTTTGAAAAAATCGAAATGCGCACGGGTACATTTGTTTGCGGACAGATAACATAACATATCGGCAAAACACTTATAAAGATTAGTTTGTTTGTGTTATTATCAGGGCCAAAGAGTCGCAAGTATACAAGTCATGCCAATAAGTCTAATGCAATGGGTAGTATACTGTAGATTTGGAGATATACATATGTAAGAGAGTAATATAATGTTCTTATGAATAAGGTTCGTGCGGCATACATTTCAGCTGTGAATTTTTATCGGATTTTTTGTTCTTTAACTTATAGTAAATGTTTACAAAATGATTATTGTTTTTTGTTTTTTTTTTTTTTTGTTTTTGTTCTCTTGCGAAGCTGTTATGGCGCTCTCTTTTAAAGTTTGTGCGCTGTTATCATCCAATTTGGCAACAAAGTTCTTGCAGGCCTTTGCAATAGCTGGCTAATGGAACTACGGGTCGGTGAGAGATCAGTTCAGCTTTGGCAGTAAACGACATAAGTTCCAAAAAGCAAAATGTTGACAGTACGTAGCGGTCTATCTATAATTCAAGCGCAAAAAATGGCTCTCTCTGTCCGCTGTCCGCTGGTAAATATATAGTATACATATAGATCTGATATCACAGTGATATACGTTTTTGAATCTCTTGCAGCGTTGGCAGACCACAGCAGCTGTAGCAGAGCCCAGAAATGATGAAGAGTGGCTACAAGCTCGTCCCTTTGAGCAGATTCCTAGTACAACTTTTCTGTCGACTGTGCGGAATTTTATGCCTGGAGGAAAATATAGCAAACTGGACATGGCGGAATTGTTCATGGCCTTCCGCGGCGACTATGGAGACATATTCTATTTACCAGGTATCCTGGGAGGTACGTCATTCCTGATAACTAACAATCCCAAGGACTTCGAGGTCGTGTTCCGGAACGAGGGCGTATGGCCCAATCGACCTGGCAGCGACACTCTTAGCTATCATCGGCAGACTCATGGAAAGGATTTCTTCCAGGGAGTAGAGGGAGTTGTACCTACACAAGGAAAAACCTGGGGCGACTTTCGATCGGCTGTAAATCCTGTCCTCATGCAGCCGAAGAACGTGCGGCTTTACTATAAGAAGATGTCCCAAGTGAACCAGGAGTTTGTGCAACGGTGCGTATGACTGAAAACAAATTCGAGTCTATGTTCAATGGTCTTCTCCATTCGCAGTATTAAAACAATCCGTGACGTCGACACCCAGGAAGTTCCTGATGATTTCATAAGCATTATAAACCGGTGGACCCTCGAATCAGTCTCTGTGGTGGCTCTGGACAAGCAGTTGGGACTGCTCAAAGAGTCGGGCGATAACGGCCAGGCTGTGTTACTTTTCAAGTACCTGGACGATTTTTTCGATCTATCAGCCGATCTGGAGTTGAAGCCCTCTGCCTGGCGTTACTTTAAAACACCCAAGCTAATGAAGCTAATGAAGGTCCTAGATGGCCTTCAAGAAATAACTTCAGCGTATGTAGATGAAGCTATAGAGCGTCTAGAGAAGGAGGCCAAGGAAGGAGTTGTCCGTCCTGAGAACGAGCAGAGTGTACTGGAAAAGCTGCTCAAGGTCGACAAGAAGGTGGCGACGGTTATGGCCATGGACATGCTAATGGCCGGAGTGGATACCGTAAGTAGTCTGTTGATCTCATACTTACCCTTATTTCATACATCCTTTTTTTCCAGACCTCAAGTACATTTACAGCGGCCTTGCTGTGCCTTGCCAAGAATCCAGAGAAGCAGGCTTTACTCCGAGAGGAGGTGATGAAGGTTCTACCCGAGAAGGACTCCGAGTTCACTGAGGCATCGATGAAGAACGTTCCCTATCTACGTGCCTGCATCAAGGAGTCACAACGGATTTATCCTCTGGCCCTTGGCAATGGCCGAGTTCTCAATCGGGACAGCGTTTTGAGCGGATACCAAGTGCCAGCTGGTACCTGTGTGTCAATGGTTCCCCTGAGCTTGCTATCAAGCGAGGAGCACTTCCCCAAGGCTGCTGAGTTCCTGCCAGAACGTTGGATTCGTAACGCCACAGACTCCACCGGGCAATGCCCGGCAAATGACTTGAAGCTGAAGAATCCATTCGTGTTCTTGCCCTTCGGATTTGGACCCCGGATGTGCGTGGGAAAGCGCATCGTGGACATGGAGCTAGAGCTGGGCATCGCTCGACTCATTCGGAACTTCAGCATCGAGTTCAATCATCCCACGGAGAAAGCTTTCCGCTCCTCCCTGATCAGTTTGCCCAACATACCGCTTAAGTTTAAGTTCACCGACTTGCCCAATTGATGCATTCTTTGTAAACCCTGTTCTAAAAGAGTACAGGATTAAACTAGATTCGTGTACATGTAACTGTGTAAATAAACGTATAAACAGTTGATATGTTAGATAATTTGGAAAAAATCGGACCATTATTATAGCTTCTCTGCTTCGTCTCGCTATCTAAGACCAGTGGCGCCACATGGTGGAGTGAGCGAGATATAAAGGAAGGGAGCTGGAATTATTTGTCATTAGTGAAAGAATGATAAAGGAGTGCATTTATATATTATATAATTAATCAATCATAAAATTGCATATATGTATGTATGCGAACTGAGTACTGGGTAGAATAGTATCGCGGTTTGAAATGTAGATTCTCAGTATTTTGCGATAAGATACGTTTTTCAAGAATCTTAAGTTCTATGTACATTTGGACGATTAGGCTAATGCTAAGTCATAGACAGACATAGAACAAGACAATGTAATAAAATTGACTCAGTCTTCGCTTCGAGTTGCTCGGATCACAATGACTAGAAGAGAATGCATTTAAGAATGTTTGAAATATGGTTTCCATTTCTTTGGGTGCAGATAACAAAATATAATGATAAAACACTTATAAAGATTAGTTTATTTGTGTTATTATCAGGGCCAAAGAGTCTCATGTCTACAAGCTATGCCAAGCTGATGAAATGGGTATAGCCAGAAGCAAAAAAATATTGAAATTGTTCATTATCTTCGAAGTTTTTTTGGAATTTGTTTATGTCAATTGAGGTAGCATGAAAATGTACGCCTATTCGCCAGCTATTGTATATTATTACGCTATTCATATTAATAATTTGTTTTCATCAAACCAATTCTCAATAGTCTCACTATTCTCTATTTACGCTCACACATTTTTAAATTAATGCCAATGACATTGACCAATTCAACGAGTATATGCTTGAGTGAACCGCTTAGGGTACTATTAGAGTATATTGTAGTTTTCGAGATGATGCTGTTATGAATAAGGATCCGTGCGGCATACATTTCAGCTGTTAAACTTGATCAAAAGTATAGCTTAAATATTAGCTTAAGGATCATATTATCTATCTATATCTATCTATCTATAAATGCTAAAATATTAAATAGTAGCAGTGTTTACACTGCCCATGCGCTTACTCATTTTCTGTCTTTTTCTCACACGCTTTTCGTCGTGCAATGTGCGCTCTCTGGCGGAGGAGAGCCATACTGACAGAGTAGCGACTGCGATTTATAGCGTTCCCCTTCGTTTTTAAATTCGAAATAGTTTTTTTGGTTGCAATTATTTCATAGCAATTTTTAGCAAAGGGATTAATTATAGCATATTCTAATCAATGCGATTGCTTTTTAAGACTTTAAAAATTTCTTAAAATATTGAGACAGTAACTGACTTAAGAGATATACCAAAGTCGAGGCCATAGCATTCAGTCGTAATTTTTGTTCTTCAAATTATAGTGAATGTTTACAAAATGTTTTTTGTTTTGGTTCTCTTGCAAACCTGTTTTGGCGATCTCTCTTTTTAAGTTTGTGCGCTGTTATCATCCAATTTAGCAGCCAAGCTCTCGCAGGCCTTTGGAATAGCTGGCTAATGGAACGACCGGTCAGAGACAGATCAGTTTAGCTTTGGCAGCGAACGACATAGGTTCCAAAAAGCAAAATGTTGAAAGTGCGCAGTGGTCTATCTATAATTCAGGCGCAAAAATCGGCTCTCTCTGTCAGCTGTCCGCTGGTAAATACACATATACATATATCGCTGACGTCACCAGGAAATTACAATTCGAATCTTCTATAGCGTTGGCAGACCACAGCAGCTGTAGCAGAGCCCAGAAATGATGAAGAGTGGCTACAAGCTCGTCCCTTTAAGCAGATTCCTAGTACAGCTTTTCTGTCTACTGTTCGGAATTTTATGCCTGGAGGAAAATATAGAAAATTGGACATTGTGGAATTGTTCAAGGCATTGCAAGACGACCATGGAGACATATACTATTTACCAGGTATCCTGGGAGGCCCGTCATTTCTGACGACTCACAATCCCAAGGACTTTGAGGTCGTGTTCCGGAACGAAGGCGTATGGCCCAATCGACCTGGCAGCGATACTCTTCGCTATCATAGGCAGACTCATAGGAAGGATTTCTTCCAAGGAGTCGAGGGAGTTATACCTACACAAGGAAAAACATGGAGCGACTTTCGATCCACTGTAAATCCTGTCCTCATGCAGCCGAAAAACGTGCGGCTTTACTATAAGAAGATGTCCCAAGTGAACCAGGAGTTTGTGCAACGGTGCGTATGACTGAAAACAAATTCGAGTCTATGTTCAATGGTCTTCTCCATTCGCAGTATTAAAACAATCCGTGACGTCGACACCCAGGAAGTTCCTGATGATTTCATAAGCATTATAAACCGGTGGACCCTCGAATCAGTCTCTGTGGTGGCTCTGGACAAGCAGTTGGGACTGCTCAAAGAGTCGGACGATAACGGCCAGGCTGTGTTACTTTTCAAGCACCTGGACGATTTTTTCGAGCTATCAGCCGATCTAGAGATAAAGCCCTCCATCTGGCGTTACGTTAAAACACCCAAGCTGATGAAACTAATGAAGGCACTGGACGGCGTTCAAGAAGTAACCTTAGCGTATGTAGATGAAGCTATAGAGCGTCTAGAGAAGGAGGCCAAGGAAGGAGTTGTCCGTCCTGAGAACGAGCAGAGTGTACTGGAAAAGCTGCTCAAGGTCGACAAGAAGGTGGCGACGGTTATGGCCATGGACATGCTAATGGCTGGAGTGGATACCGTAAGTAGTCTGTTGATCTCATACTTACCCTTATTTCATACATCCTTTTTTTCCAGACCTCAAGTACATTTACAGCGGCCTTGCTGTGCCTTGCCAAGAATCCAGAGAAGCAGGCTTTACTCCGAGAGGAGGTGATGAAGGTTCTACCCGAGAAGGACTCCGAGTTCACTGAGGCATCGATGAAGAACGTTCCCTATCTACGTGCCTGCATCAAGGAGTCACAACGGTTGTACCCACTGGTCATCGGAAATATCCGAGTTCTCAATCGGGACAGTGTTTTAAGTGGATTCCAAGTGCCTGCTGGCACCTTTATCTCGATGGTTCCTACATCTTTGCTCTCAAGCGAGGAGCACTTCCTCAAAGCTAATGAGTTCCTGCCAGAACGTTGGATTCGTAGCGCCACAGACTCCACCGGGGAATGCCCGGCAAATGACTTGAAGCTGAAGAATCCATTCGTGTTCTTGCCCTTCGGATTTGGACCCCGGATGTGCGTGGGAAAGCGCATCGTGGACATGGAGCTAGAGCTGGGCATCGCTCGACTCATTCGGAACTTCAGCATCGAGTTCAATCATCCCACGGAGAAAGCTTTCCGCTCCTCCCTGATCAGTTTGCCCAACATACCTCTAAAGTTTAAGTTCACCGACTTTCCCAATTGAGGCATTGTTATGCGTTGCTTTGGTCTTGAATTTATTCCGATTATATTCCTTGTGATAAGATAAGATTTGCTGTCGTTTGAACTTGTTTGTGAAGTGTTTTGGTTGGAAAAAGAGGAGGTAAGACAGCAAGTCCAGGGCTGCAATGAATCCAATTATGAAGAGCCGTCCCAGATATGCCAGACCCGACCCTACCGATGGCTAGCCTAAGGGGGAATGAAACAAGCTGGTTGGTTTGTCTATACATTTAAAGCTATTTCATTTCCAGTTTAATACACACTCAAATATATTTATGATCTATATATGTAGGTAGACATTCTAGACACTCAATACGGTATATGGTACATTTGTGGTAAACATTTTACAACAGTTTTACAGTTAAACAGCTCTTGGATTCTGGTTATACTCGTAATGGAGGCAGGGTCACGTACTGCCATCAATTGGATGTCGATTCGCACGATGCTCTTTTGGCCAATTTCAACAATAAAATAGTTAGTTAGTTAGCTTTACTGGCCAAATGCTTGTAGAGAGTAAATATTCAATGGAAAATCCTTATTTTCTTTCTTAGTTTCTTAGTGTTTTTTTTTCTTCAAGGTAGACATAAAGATATATTTGTGATTTTTGTTTTCTTTTTATCATATTTTGTTCGATTTTTACTTTGGTTTGGTCCAAATGGATATTGAAACTTTAACAGATTGGTTCTCTTGGTTTTTGTTTAACTTTTTGTTTTTAACGAATATGTAAGTTACTATAAACATTTTCTAGAAGTTTTGGAAAGTTTTTTATAATTTATTATTTGTAATTTTCCCTTTTGTTTATTGCACTTTACGTTAGACATTTATGAGCTGAATCTAAGGAAAGTTCACACGTTTTTATCTATATTTGTATTGTATATAAAATAAATTGGAAATCAGTCCTAAATTATGGATATGAAAAGGTTCTCCTTCGACTTGCATTGGAACGTTTTTTACTATATCATTTCCAGTGCCCCTTTGTTCAGTATTCAAAAAATATCATCACCTTTCGCCAGCCCCTACCAGAACGAAACTACCCCCCCCTGAAACACACATTCATATGTACATATGCTGTATTGTTCGCAAACTGAATTTTTATGTTTATATTTTAATGCGCAATCGATACGCAAAAATATACACAATAAAAGCATCAGCAGGAGGAAAGCCTGATATGTGGGTGTGGCAATGAAATCGAGCAACAAGAAAACGAAAAAGAAAAGGAAAACGGAGCCAGACTTAAATCCTGCTGAGCCACATACATATGAGTATAGTATATGTGATGTGGTGTCTGTTGCTCTTGTGGCTGTTGCCTGCTGTTTCTGTCTCTGTTTGTGGTGCGTGCCGGGGCAATAAAATCTAATTTGATGCAGGCTCCTCACATCTCCCCCTCCACACAGACAGACACTCCTCTTATACGCACACACACACAGACATACACGCCTCTTATACGCACACACAGCAGCAGAGGGGGAAAAAATGTGGAACTTTTTTCCATGACTCGTTTGAAACACAAACAGAACAGAACGGAATATAAAAAAAACGTTGCATAGTTCTAGGCTTCAGAACAAAACCCACAAAATGCGGGCGGGACGGAAGTGGTTACAACTCCCTGTTTGGAGGGGTTAACAGCCACTACCCCCCCCTCCACTGGCCCAAACCAACTCTTTTCACCACAGAGCCGTTTAAGCGGGCGGCTTAGCGCCCCCAAAAGGCGTAGATAAAAGGCGGCAACAACATAACATGCAATAAAAATGTGCCAAAGAAGGACCCTAAGGGCCCTTCTTCGTTTGGCCTTCTCCCAGGCTGTCTGCCGGCAGCCAAGGCATCGCTTAGCTCTTCCTGTCGAGTGTGTGTTGTGTGTACGAGATGTTAATTACTTTTTTGGCTGCACGGCCGTGTATGGGTACGTGCATATTCTAGCCGGGGAAAACTCAATTTGGCTGCTTTAAGCTGACCTTTGGCTATGGGGGGTCTTGACTTGACCCGCTTTGCATAGACAGGCGCCAAGGTACGAGCACTCGTATAAGCCACCATAAATTTGAAACGACAAGGACATTAGACGAAGCTTCCTTTTTTTTGTTGTTGCTATGCAAAACAGGCAAATCAATTGTCGCGTCGCCTGCCACTGACAGCCGTCGAGGGACAGGAGCCCAGGGCAGAGGCAGGGATTGGGGCAGGGGCAGGGACTGGGGCAGGGACAGGGTACGGCCAACAAATTGCGATTGCATGTGGCGGCTTTTTGGCGGATTTTAAACATGTCTGCTTTGGTTTGTGTGAAGGGCTTAAAATTGCTACCGACTAATTTCAGGCAAAGTCGATCGATGCTTCATTAAATATAAAATCATAAGCTCCGCAGAAGCCCCAGAGCACACATAAATCAAAAACGTTTATTGATGTGTACGCCCCACAGCTGCGTATACTTGATGACATAAAAGGACAGGCCGGTAAAAGGATGGGACGGGACGGGATGGGATGGGATGGCAAGATGGAAGGCCAATCCAGCCAGCAGAGTGTATACATACAAGTGACATCATTTCTCTGGACAACATTAAAGGAAATACATTAACTAATATGAAAACGGCAGAAAGGACCGACACCGACACCGACACCAACTAAGGCTAAGGCTAAGGGTCGAAATGGAGACGCTGCACCATCAATTATGAGGCGTGACCATAAACAGGAATACTTATTGTTACGGCAACTCAAGCTCGAAGGAATATATGCAAATGTCTAGTCACTATCCGGTGTTCTGTGTTCAGTGTTCTGTATTCGGGCATTGGGGGTATTCGGCATTTAGTATTTCAGTATTCGCTATGGACTATAAACCTGCTCAATATTTGCGGCCAAAGCTTGGCGTGCCCGGATTGAGCACGCGACAATAATGCGAGGTGGTCACGCAATACGTATCCTCCCCATCGTCATCCTGGTGCTGGAGCTGCTGGTGGTGGTGGTGGTGTTGCTGCTGCTGCTGCTGCTGTTGCCGGCGGCGCATTGATAACGGTCATTGGCGCTGCTGGGCGTTGTTGATGTACTCGTTGTGCTTTAGCACCTGAAAACAAAACGAAAATACCGATTTAAGCACATATAGCGGCTTTTCGCGATGTCGATTGCTCCTTACCAGGTCGGCCACAATGGGCTCCTCGATCTCCAGGCCCTGCAGCGTTTGCTCGCGGCTCAAATGCAGCTCGTAGGAATCTGTGGGCGTGACAAACACCACGCGATGTTTGCGTGTCTGCAGTATATTGGCAATGACCAGCTGGCGGGTAAGAGCGGGAGTTGCGGTGAGTGGTTGCAGTGGCTGTCCACTTCTGATTGACTCCGACTTGACTCACCTTATGCTTGTATTTGTTGAGGCTGTCACGTGCCTTGACAATCAATAGACTCTCGTCTGTCTCCAGCTTAAAGGACACCACGAAAGCGTGCGGAACCCAGAGGCTGGCCAATGGGGCGAGCATTTTTGGCACCAGCTGCAGCGAAATCGTCGGCGCTCCATCGCCCGATTGCATTTTGTGGGTGGGCTGCAATACACGGAATGACAGTGGTTAGTGTTTTCAATGGCCCGTAGTTCGGCCCACGCTGCGTATGCGCGACGTGACGGGGCGCTGCCTGGTACTCGTAGATTGGTTTTCTGGTTGCCACTCCGCAAAAGCCACAAATGGAAAGGACACACACCAACAGACCAACAGACAGACAGACAGACCGACACACAGATACAGAATGCGGCAGACGCATACACAAGTAGCCGCCACCCAGGACAGGCAGTAAAATGTCCTTGCAACACAAACAGACGGACGTTTGGAGGGACAGACGGGCTGTCGACCGACGATGAAATAAAAGGCCAGGGTTGCTGCTTCTGTGGCCCCGCCACGTGGCATATGAATTACAACTAATTGAAAGCATAACTCAGCCGTAATGAGCTAACGGCATCGCCTGGCTGCACATCCGCCCCAAGGCTCTCCTTAAAGTCCTTTAAAATATCGCACATACGCCAGCGACTTGTTGAGCGTACCCCCCGCAGTACCGTTTTATTCTCATTAACTGAGCAGCGCCGTAAGCGGCTCTAAGCTGCTGACCAGTCCTCCCGCTCTCTGTATACAAAGGCAGGCAGAGCACACGGACAAACGGATGAACAGAGGGGACAGAGAGACGGTCATGCCTAAGTAGCCGGAGACATTGTGCGAAGAGAGAAATGAAAAATGTAGCCCAAGGCATTGAGCCGACAACGAAAGCGAAAAGGAAAACGAAAACGAAGGCGAAGAAGGAGAAGGAGAAGCAGACGCAAGACAAAAGCAACAGTGAGAAAAAAAAGAGGAAGAGAGGAAGAAGGACGGCAGGCATTGACAATTGTGGGTCTGCTGCTGATTAGAACTTTAAGCTTTTGAGTAAAAAAAAAAAAGAAAAAAGTTTTGTGGCGTGGCTCTTGCACTCTCTGGGAACAGCTAGCAGCTGTTGACATTGAATTTACCACCACAGCCACCCCCGCTCTCCCTGTCTCTGTCTCTCTCTCAACAGTATAGCTTTGTTAGTGTTAGTGTTAGTGCTCGTGTTCGTGTCCCTGCCTGTCTGTGCGTGTGTGCGTTCATGCATGCTCTTGTAAAATCTTTTGATTTGATTTGCGGATTTCGGCACGTCGCCGCTTTTGTCCTGTTTCCGTTTTGGCTTCTCTGCTTTTTAGTTTACTCGTTTTAATTTCTTGTTTGTTTTTACTTATTACAATTTACTTAGGATCCTATCCCCGCTTCCCCCTCCACCAAAAGTTAATTCAAATTCAAAGTCGCCTTCGTTGCTGCCTTTGCATAAATTTGCAAAAGGCTTTTCCGAGGGCTTGCACGGTCCTGATGATGTGATTGTGAAATTGAATTTTTAGTATGCTCTTGTACAGGACAGACTACTGTAGTACTTGTACTATTTTTGGCATCTCCAGCGACAAAGTTTCAAGAGTGCCTGGGACCGACCTTGCAGCAGGATCTCTGGGAATGAGTTTTCAATTTCCCAAGAAAGCAAGACACTGAAACACTTCAATAGCCACTTAAACACAAGTTTCGTATAGTTGGTTCATGCTCTGCAGCTTGAACTTTTATTTATGGAGCTGATTATGCAAATCCCAATCGATTTGCAGGCCCCCTTAGAGAAGAGTATCCCAAATATGTATATACTTGACTCCCACTCGTATCCGTACATCAACAGGCCATTCCCGTGTTTTAGTGGCCTTAAGGATGCCGACGGCACAGGCACAAGCTGGTAGTGTGGAACAATTTAATCAAGTGAACGGACGATTTGTGGCTAACACCCCACGACCGACCACGACCACGACCACGACCACAAAGAGGCGCGAGGGGGCGGGCGGAATGTGTCTTTAGAATGGCGGCGACAGGAAATGCACGAACTGAACGGAAACAGAGCGTAGGAAGTGCCACGACGACGATGCCTGGGCGGCAAGTGGAAAACTTTCGTGTTTACCCCCTAAAGCATCTATCACGTTCGGCGTCCCGTATACCTCGTATACTTATGTATGTCTGTATATCTGTATGCATCTGTGGTCGGGTGGCATGCAAATGCAAGGAGACAGGCAGCCAGGCAGCTAGGCAGCCAGGCAAAAGCCATTCACACCCCACCAAACGGACATTTGATGCACTTGAAAGCCTTTCGCTGCTCCTGCTGTCCCTGCTCCTGTGCTGAATATTCACCAACAAGTCAGCTGTCAGAGACTGGGGGCTTAGAGTGGGGTCTGACAAGTAAACACGCCCACAAGCCCTACTAGGAGTGGGCGGCGCACTGTGAGTGAATGAAACCCAAAAGGTGGGCGGAAAAGATGAGCGAGGAATAGAGAAACCAGCGTGGGTGGACCCTACTCCACGGACAGGATTCAGGTAAAGTGTAGCCGGGACTAGAGAGAAACATGCTAACAAGGAAAATTATGCAAATCAAATTATTTGTTGACAATGTTAAGGCTGCTGCTGGCTGGCTGGCGAACAAGGGGCCACCCGTGACAGGCGGCTCTGCGATAAGGAGGTGTGGCAGGGGCAGACATAGTGCTCAGGCAGCGAGACCTGCTGCCAGGAAGCCCAGCCTAACGTCAATAATGTGAAGAGGAAATGTGTCAAAGGCAGGATGGTGACTGGTACTCCGCCGTGTAACTGGGGACTGGGTACTGGGATGGAGTGCGCACAAGGGCAACGCAATCAGAATCAGAATCAACTTTGCAGATCGATAAAAACCCATTTCCAGGCAACTAGAAGCCCCCGCTCATCGATGACGAGTGCAATCAATTACAAGATTTCCCACATGGCCGCCCAACCCGACGCTCCTCGCTTACCATCATGTCCTCGGGTATGTAGAAATCGGATACGGCAGCCGCCAAGTAGAGCACGGCACGTTCCTCGAACGCAGCCAGGCACTCGCAGGCGGCCCGCAACAGCCACATGTAGTCGACGACGCTGGTGAAGTTCACATACAAAATCATCTGGGTCTCCCGGGCAATCTTGTATTTGGCCAGCACCGGTGCGAACACATCCACCGAGTCCGGCTTGATGGCTATCGTCGAGCTCTGGCTGTTGTCCGCTATGTCCAGCATATCGAAGAACTGCTGCCCCGTGAAGTGGCGCGTGAAGGGCTCCAGCGATTTGTGGCGATGCATAAAGATCACGGCATAGTCATGGTCAAGAAAGTATTCCGCCGAGGCAGAGCCCCGAGTGCCGGCACTAAAATTGTCCACAAATCGCACCGTATTGTGCTCCAAAGGTACTGTAGTTCCACCAGACTGGAAAGGAAGAGAACAAAGAGATGAATATTATGGAATTGGATTTACTTTCAGATGCAGTCGAAGATCTAAATGGCATTAAAAGAGAGTTAGTGCTCAGGGACACACTTTTGTGCACCTAAGCTGTTTCCTAAGAAAATCAATCTCCTCTCCTTTGAGCGGAAATCTTTCCCTATCCCAGCAGACCTTCACGTTTAATATTTCAGTTTATTTATCCTCAGTCAGAAATCCAATACCTGTCATATCCAATGTCTTATCTTTAGGTTCCGAGCCCCCATTAGGAAAGCTTAACCGTTGCCGTTGCCGTTGCCATCCCAGAGGTCAGGTCGGAGGCTTAACCCCACTAATTAATGTGGACTTGGCTGTCAGGGGGTGTGTGGGGGGACTGGGGCCCACTTACCGTGACGAGAACAATGCGATTTTGGATCTTGTTGTGGCGTTCGCAGAACTCTTTCAGCAGCGACCGATTGTCCTCGAAGTCTGCGGGCGGCAGATGTGTGTTGTAGAAGTCCTCCCAGTGCGTCATTTTTGTGTTGTTTTGTGTGACGCTGTGCTTCCACTTGCCTCTTGTTAAAGTCCCCTGTTAATTGGCCGCGATTGCTGAGGGGGCGGAACGGAAGGAAGGAAGCGCACGGGAAAAACTGGAAGCTCGAAAATAACGAAAATTTTTCAGCCGGAAACTATGCAATGTTGGTTGTCGTCTTTAATTAATAAACAGCGTCGCGTCGCAAGGCAACAAGCGGGAACGGAACTTTGGACGAAACGAACACAGATTGAAGACGAAATTAATTAGATTCGCTTAAAGCCACGCAAATAAATTAATACCAGCACGCACTGCACGCTCTCGTACTATTTTAATTGATTAATTTGCACTTTAAACGGCGTTGACGCTGGCGAAACAGAGGGGCACGTTGGGGCATTCACTGGCTTTCTTATCAATGAAACTGGACAGGCAATGCGCGCGATGCAAAGACGAACGAAAAGCTCTCCGGCTAACAAGCTGGCGCTGCGGTGTGTGGCTGTTGTTTCCTTGTCCGCGGCCCGAGAAAGATTGGGGGCGGCAAGGCCGACTCGGCGAGTGTTCTGTGAGAATCGGAGAACGGCGAACGAGGACGAGCGAGGACGAACACGGACGTGGACACGCGCACTCTAATTCGGCAAGAATCCAGAGTGTGTTTTTCGTATTCGTTGGCCAGGCACGAGGATTTTGGCCAGGTTCAAAGTGCAAAATACAAAACCGAAATGTGGAATGCGGAACAGCTGATGCCCCCAGTACTGTGCAAGTCACGAGCGAGTGGGCTGTCGGAACTAGTTCTCTAAATGATCCAAACTTGTTGCTTGCCAGAAATTTTTTGCTGCACCAGGAAACTTTTTATTTATTGGAATATTTAAACTTAGGGTTAATTTTACTATTTTTATGCATATTTATGTGAAAATCAATAAATCATCACAACTTTCAGCACAATGAACTAGTTCGCAAGCCGAAAACTCGATCGAGCTGAAGTTGGTTGCGCTGCTCAGTGTTGGCAAACACTTTTCTGCGCGCCTAGTTTGAATTCCAATTCAAATTTAAAAAATTTACTGAATTTTTGGTTTACATTCGTTTGAATGCAATAGACAGCATTCAAATCGTTGGTTTATTATGAAATACAAATGTCGCTTCGATACATACAAGTTACAAAAGTACAAAAGAATCTCTATAACAATATCACAAAAACTTACAAGCTAATTGGCTTTGTCAACCCCGCGCTACACAACAGTGAGTGCCAGCTGAGGTGACCTTTAGTACTGCGATTAGAGTGTGCGATGTGGTTAATTGGGAAGTGGAATGCATTTCAAATTGCGGTCTCCGACAGGTGAATTTGAATGGAACCGGACCGCGTAGTGAGCGTAAATTTATGGCATTCATTACACAATTGCACTCACTTGGATGCACATGCCGGCGGCCGCTAGCTGCCGCTGGCTGCCGGTTCATCGGTGTTCTGCCCAGTGCATTTTAAATTGAACTTAAGCCTAATTGAATGTTTCTCAGCCCACACCAAACCAGATCAGACGGACTACGCACGCGTCGTTGTCGGCGTTGTGGTCGGTGCATACACATGATAATCAACATCATCGATGCCGTCGCCCTCCTCCTCCAGGTCGCGATTGACCAGTCGCTCCCGCATTCCGTAGCGTTGCCTATGGGGACGACAAATTAGAAATTAGCACTTTCCAAAATTAGGATAATTATGACTTACTCCAGATGTGAACGCCATATGACCAGACCGGCGTACAGGCACACGGAGACCAAGGCCAAGACCACCACAACGATGCCCAGCAGCATGTGACTCTCGCTGATGGCATCGGCCTCTACGTCCACGGGCGTCATCTCGATATTCTCCGCCGTGAAGGTCTCGGTGTCGGTGGCAAGAACTCCGTGACCCTTGAAGCGTTCCTCCAGCTCCTCGCTGGCCGCCGGTCGGCTCTCCTCCTCGCTCTCCTCCGCATCGCCCGACTCGAGTATCTCCACGTCGTACTTGTAGTTCCGGGCCAGCACCAGGTTGGTGGCCGAGTTCAACTGATCCTCGTCGCGGTGGGGATAGGAATTCGCCGTCAGCTCCGACGAGCCCGAGTCCGCATCCGAGTCGACAGACTGCAACGGAAACACAAATTGTTTAAATGTCAGGGACGGATACAGGGACACCCGCTTAAAGTTAGTCACGTAGTTACAGGGGAAACCGTTAACGTTAACGCTAACGGATACTCGCACTCGTATTTGTACAACTCGTCATCAGTCATCGGGCCTGGGCCTGTGCCTGGGGCTGGGGGCATTCAACAAATAAACGGGCCGGCCCCATCGATGCGGCTCTTGTTGTCGGGCTTTGCGTAATTGATTTTCACGCGGCACGTGATTCTATGCCAATTTGTATGGTCCGACCAAGTTTCTAACTTTCTGTGGGTGTCGGCCTAGCTGTGGGGGCGTGTTCGGGTCGGTTTTATGTATTCAATTTTGAGATCATCTCTATAGAATTTCGTGCAATAGTTTGCTATATTTTGAGCAAATATTATCCCAGGAAATCGGAGCCCTCGCTGACTCAGCAGCTACAAATGTTCAAATGTTCAGGAAGCCAAATTCTTTATGGGTTATTAATCATCAGGTTGAGGCCAACACCTCGTCAGTGCTCAAATTACGTAGAGAACCCGCAGGTGATAAGGGTTGAGAAATTTGTTGTGTTTTTAGCTTACAGTTTTTTGGGGATTTATTTACGTAAACAGTAAATAATCCTTGTTATCAGAGAGGTCGCATAAAAAGTGGATATCTGTAAAAACTGTTTACCATTTTTGACTCTCAAACCCTACACTCAGAGAAAATGAAGAACCCTGAGGATCGAATAGTTATACCAATAGATTTGCAAAGAGGGGGCAAAATGGTAAAGGAGAAAGTGTTTTCACTTACATTGGCATAAATAAGAAAATATTTGATTTCAATATATTTTATATTTTCAATAAATATATTTCATATTTAAATTAAATATTTTCCCCACAAATTTGAAACATTATATTTATTTTAAAGTATTTTATATTTAGATTAAATATTTGCCATATTTAAAAGAATTTTAGATACATTTATGCCTCAGGAACAAATCATTAGAATCCAACAACAAAATACACAGTCTTTGGCGAGGCGCAGAAGTCAATCCCAAGAAACCAAAAACAATACTTTGTTTACTTTAAATCCAAGTAAATTTCATTTAATTTCCCTTTAATTTAAATATATATGTGTTGACTCTAATTGTTCTCTCAGTGCAAAAACTGTTGGTATCTCTGATCCCTTTCCATCTCTAATGAATGAAATTGTAGTACACTACTAATCACTCTCATTCTGAATCGCCTCCTATTTGTTATATAACTACGAGTATGTAAATACAGAGCAAGATCTCTGTTTACCAATGCTGACTTCTAATGATCACTCTCCCTGTCTGCCTGTCACTCAAACCCCCCACAGATGGCTGGCCTTGATGGCTTGAAGGGGTCGCTGGGTGAACTCTGTAATTGGCAGTAACAACATTTTACGACTACGTGACTTGCCTCTGTCTCTGGCACAAGCACAGGGATCAGACTTTATCTCGTTTCGTGTAATTGTCCGATTTGTTTACAGCTAACGACGACCATAATAATATGAATAAAAGATGGCTAGCACGAGCATCGAGATGCGAGATCAGCGATAAGCGATCTCGAAATCCGATCAAAACGCGTCGTCTTGGGAAACACCCTGGGGAACAGCGGCATTCAAACGTCAGACTTTGAGGAATTACCTAGAACTTCAATCGGATTGTGGCTCTGACTCATCAAAAAGCGGGCTTATTGGGAAAGGGAGTTACGTTTGTTGTCTCGTTCAATTCGAGGCCCAGTTTGATGGAATTTCGTGACTAATCCGCTGGAAAGCCTCATCAGCGTTTGGTTGGTGGATTGCTGCGGGTTTCTTTAATTTTATGCAAATGTTCGGCCACTGAAAGTTTGGTTGCGGTTTTGCATTTAATCAAAGTGAAAATAAATAAACAGTTTGTGCAGAGCGTAAATTTCCGGTTCTGTATAAAAATAAGCCAACATCTGAGCCTGGGCACAGAACCCGATTCAACGTCGGATCGTATTTCATTGGCATGGGCTCTCGGGGTCGTTACTTAATGCCTCAGTGCGTCAGTCATGTCAGGTTGGGTTCGGGGCTCTTGTCGTCGTCCCCTGGCCCAGTTACCCGGCACCTCAGGCCCCTGTCATCGGGAGGGGACTACCACTTAACTTACCTCCTCACCAGCAGCAGCAGCAGCAGCTCTGACAGATGTTTTATTTCTGGGTTCCGATCCACTCAAATCACTGAGCTCCGAGTCAGTGCTGGCCGGGTCCTCTGAGGGCTTGGCATGGGCTAAAAGAGAAAGCAATTAAGCAGAAAACAGATAATGAGTTCCGTGAATTATCGGTGCACAAGTATTTGGTTACAGCTTATCAAAATCGCTGCCGCACTGCTGTTTGTCTTCCCTGAAAAGATCTACCCTACGATCCAAGCAATTCAGAGAAGCTCAAATATTTGGCCAAAGATTTCGCCACTAGCACCTTTTGGTGGCTGGGCCATAAAAATCCAACCAGATATGTATGCCATAGACCCAGACAATCTGAATTGTTTTGCTGCCTGGATTTATCAGTTGACATGAATTTTTGGCTACGCTTTTGGCAAACAAAACGAAAAGCGTGTTGAGGCTAAAAAACCGGCATGTGGAAAGACAAACATATATGCAAATGTACATATATACTGATAGGTATGTTTGTATGTGGCGGCTATGGCAAACCAGTCCCCGTATTATACTATATACTATATAGCACAAACAATCATCGGTATTTCTAATGCCAGTAACGAGCTCCTCCAATGTTAAAGATCCATTTGTTACCAACACAACAGCACAGATATGGCGATATCAGGCAAGTCTTGCATTTCATTGCATTTGGCATTCATAAGCCGCCCAGATTCGATTCGCGACTACGTGACGACAATGGTGGAGGCCTCCGTCCTCCATTTGGTAACTTGAGCCATTGATCCACTTTTTGACATCTGTCAAAGTGTTAAAGCCGGGTAGGAATCGGTTCGCTTATCAGAAAATCCCACCGCAAACATGGGTATATCTGTGTTGCAATCATGTAATCACCACATGTCGAAGTGCCTGGCGAAATCTTATCGAACAGGATGGACATTTTGCCAATCAGGTGCCTCTCTCTTTCCCCCCGCCCCTCTATGTTTTTGCGACTTGCGGCTAGCTGTGGACCTTGATGGCCAATTCATGGCTGCGTCTTGTCGCGACTGCAGGCGGTCCAAATCCCCATCCCCCCGCCCCATTATAAAAGTTGATATTTATGGGCTTCAGGCCAGGCTTACGGGCCCGAACCGGACCCCAAGCCAGCCCCAGGCCAGGCCCAGACCAGGCACTTAACGGCAGACACTTAAGGCAAAGGGTAAACTGTAAAACTGTCTATCCAAGTGGTCGCTCCGGCTCCTCCAGCTGCGCGCGAAACTAGTTTCCAGGTAATGGGCTCGTACTCGTAAACGTACAAGAATCAATATTGAGACGCTGCGTGGATTGCGTGTCTGTTTGCTCTCTATCTATGTATCTTTTCCACAATCTTTGTCATTGCATGGCTCTTCTGGTGGTACTTACAGCAATCTGCCAGCAGCAGCACCAGCAAAAACAGGCTACAGTACGTTATACTTTTGCCGTCAACCATTTCGTTATTTTTTCCCCCCGTAATAGATAATTCTTTTATCAATAAATTTCTTATCACTCGAGCAAATTATTAGCTCTTACGCGCCACTCGACCGTTGGATATTTTAGCCAGATGAATAAGCGTTGGGGTTTTTTCACCGTATCTTATAAAAACGTGTTTTCAAGGCGGAAAGTGTCGTTTTTAGCGTTTGTTCTCGGCGACCGTTTCTTTCAGACTAAAACGAAAACGATCAAACGAAATAAATTAAAATACCTGGAATGACAAACATATTCACAATTCTGTAACGTCCATTTCCCCCAGGGTATGTGTGCATGGAATGGGACTCATTGTTGTCAACCGGTTATGACGACTAATTCTTGGTTATTCTTTCTTCCGTCGAATATTCCCAGCTATATAGATCTCTCAGTTTTGCCCAGATAGTTTTATATGATTGCTGAAACAATTTTGGTTAAGATGAACTACTTTTAAGTACTTGCATGTTTTTTGTTTTGACAAAAACACGGTTTCAACAATAGTCGCAGGTTGTGACGTCAATGTTGCTGGAATTTGCAGACTCATTTCTTGTCAACCAGAGTGTGGTAATTTGTATACCCTATTTCGTGAATATTTTATAAAGATACTGTTTTCCAACCTGCTTTCAAACGTAATTAGTAAAGGCCTTGTCTTAGATTGCATTTTTTTGGTCTATTCATTCATTTGATTAGGTGTTTTTATATAAATCCTGATCCCAGTACCAGTTCTTGGTCACTGTAAGAAGACCACTAATTGCAAAATATCGTTTAAAATAGATACTGACTAGTTTCTGCATTAATTAGAGCTTGGAATGACACACATTTCCGCAATTACATATCATCCATTCCCAGGGTATGTGTGCATGGAATTAGCAACATGTTTGTGTATGGAATGGGACTCATGTTGTTAATCGGGCCATTACCGATAAAAAAAAAACGACGAATTCCTCATATTCTTTCTTCCGTTGAATAATACTATCTATATAGAAAATTAAGCCATGCCCACTCCATTTTATACGATTGGTGAATCTATTTCCTACTTGATTGGCCTATTCGAAATAATTGCATTTATTGGATTTTGTTTAAAAAAGGGGTTTAGGGTGTTAGATCGCGAAAATCTCAAACGAAAGCTCAAAACGTCAAAAGCTCTGAGGCGACTGAGTCATCCAGTACAATACTATCGGCAGAAACCGATCTGGAAGCTGGCGTACAAAAAAGCGGTTAAGTTTACACAGCTAACAGGGAAACGATTTTTCATTATTACTTACTAAAATACTATTTAGGAGTTGTAAAACTCCTTGGGTTTGTGGAACTTACTGGATTAGGGTGGTAGAGAAGAGTCGCAATCCTTTCAACGGCGGTACAAATATAGGACTTTCAATAGATTCGATAAAAAGCATACGAAAACATCACAGCACAGCATGTTTGGATGTTTAGATTCGCACGTAAGGATTTGAAGGGAGATTTAAAACCATAAAAACATGAAAGAAATCTTAGCACACAGGGCCATCCTCTATAATATACAAAGGACCAGTACAAGAGATCAAATCTATACTGCTAGTATAGTAATGTCTCTCTTCCGAAAAATAATTTGTATTAAACGTATTTTCTGCTTTATTTTCTAATTTTTTAAAGAGGCATTCGTGGACGTGCAACGCGATGGCCAGTGTATTTACAAATAGGGGGTCTGAAGGGCCCTTAAGATACCTAACAAACTCTAAACTCAACAATTTGTCTTAACAGTCACTAATCATATATGCCTGATGCATAAATCGTTTTCCAGACACAGGCGATGGTACGGCGATCCCGTCGGCCACGCCACGCACCGATCACGGCGCCAGTCTACGGCCAGTCACCAATATACAGCTTACATGGTAGGCAAAAATATACAACATATATATATGGTGAGGGGCGGTCATGGGCGGCCGGTGAGAGGCGTAGCCGACGGATAACCGCCGAACGTGAACGTCATTGAGTGCATCCCGCTGGGCCAGCAGACTGCTGGATCACAGATGGCCAGGAAACCGACCAGCAGCTCCAGGCCAACGGGACGCACTCGACTAGCGGATAACAAAACTTTCGAGGTAATCAAAAGCGAAAATTCTGTACAAATTTTGGAGTCCTTTGGGTCGAGTTCATGGAAAGTGTCCGTGGGTGTAGTTCAGATCAGGTTAAAGAGAAACTTAAAACTTCTAAGTGGTCTATTGCGAGTAGTGCGCCTAAACAAATTGTTCCCTGACGTTGGCCGAGATCTCCAAGAGCCGCCAGGCGGCCTTGGGGTTGAGTTCTTCTCGGTCGCGGCAGAGCACCCACACGTAGGCCACTCGCATCACCTTCTCGGGATCGCCCTCGACAACTTTGCCCTTCGGGTCCCTCACACACATGATCTGCTGCGCCTGGAACGTGATGATCAGCACGGGTCCCTGGTCCATGACCTTGCCCATGGCCAGGTCAATGTCCTCAATGTCCAGGATCTTGGAGTCTAGGTAAAGGCCAGACTTTTTCGCCTGCGTTATGGGCGTGGCAATGATGTTATACGTGCTCTCAAAGCACCAGTCCTTCAGTATTTCCAGGTCGCCACGCACAATCGCCTCCAGAACGTTGGGAATGATATCAGTTTCACAATCACGCAGAAACTGCTTCTGGTCGAAGGCAGGGTCGATCTTAACCAACTCGGTCATCGTCTCGGACAGCTCCGTTTTGGAGAAGAGACCACCCATCACGTCCGAGACTTTTTCGGTCAGCAGGCGGGAAGCACGGATCATGGGGTTCTCAGACTCCTCGTACTTCATCTTCCAGTCGAGTACTTTGTGCACATAGGCATTGTTGTTCTTGAAGTCCTCCCACGACTGGCTAAACTTTGAGTCCTTGTGCAGTTCCACGCCTGAGAGGTACACCGCTCAATGAATGCTTTCGGTATATGATCCGTGGATCCACTTACCTGTTGCCTCCGTATTCGGCTCAAAAGTACGACTACTTTCGGACATTTCCACTTGAACACGCTTTCGCAACTTCGCTGGTGAACGATACACTCGATTGTCTATGCTCGTGAGGTCCATCTCCTTCTTGATGATTCGCGTCGTATCGGAGATGGCTTGGAAGGCACCCGACTGGCCCAGCTTGCCGCTGGTATCCGAGATCGTATCGCTGACGCCCTTGGCCTTCTTGGAAAGTTCCTCCGAGACCTTTTTGGCCAGGTCCGACTTGGAGGCGTCGTCGATTACGTCGCCCATCTTGTCTTTGAAGGCATCCAGCTGTTCTTTCAGCTTACTCGACGACTTTTGCGCCTCCGACTCGACAATGTTGAACTTTTGCCGCGCCGACTTCAGAGCATCGGACTCTTCCAGCTTCTGTGCCTCCTCCCGAAACTTGCGGATGTTGTCCTTGATCTCCTTGCTCTTGTCCATCTCACTTCGCACATTGTCGATTAATTGCGAAAAGAAGCCGGTCTTGCGTCCAGGCGCACTATAAAAACGAGGCTGCGGAGCGATCGATTCAGGTTTAGTGGAAACCAAATCAATTTCAAACCATAAGCTTACCTGCGGCTGTTGCAGATTCTGCGACGCCTGTTGCCACGTGAAGAGGCAGGCACGATCCCGCGCAAGGGCAGCAAGTCTGAACTGTAATGAGAAGTGGGTTCACGTTAATCAATTCGGCCATTTTAACCTCGAAATGGTCACATGTAACCTGCCCCCTCTGTATGCCGCTACGGGGGCCGAAGATGTATGAACCTACCATGATGACGGGTTTGGTTGCTACAAGGATATTTCGCAGGTCGTTCGATCAGTGATGAAGGCCGGGCAATATCGCGTCAGTGTCTCCAAATTTATGTAATTCTATCAACCACGCACGTATCAGCGACACAGAGTCAGCTGTTTTTGACGAGAAGAGCAGGGCTGGCGGACTTCAGGGCTGGGCACCGATGGCAGTGCGCGCGGAGTTTGAAATAAGTGTGATGCTCAAAAACATAAATATGGTTTGGTTTGTCGAGTAAATGTTCTGTTGGTGTACCCTTTCTTGTTTTTGATTAGTGGATCCCTGCCTAGGTTATATTTAATATTACTGTGTGTTTCATTTTTGAACACCTGGTAACGCCAGCCAGGCACAGAGTGAGAGAGAGAGAGAGATAGAGCATAGAACCGTTACTTGGGGAGATCGCCGCCAATCGCAAGTCCATTTTTTTCTTTGCTTTTGTAATTGGCGCCAGTAGTCTGTCTGCCTGTCTGTCTTCGGGACCAAAGCAAAATACAAATTTTATAGACGCGCCGAATTGACACCGCGCAAACTGAGTTTTTTTTGTACAAATAATTGTTATAACTGAAGAAGTAACGCGTATACTTCAAGAAATTAGGCTTTACTCGGTTTTCGTGAGTGTGAGATTTGGTGCAAAGCGAGAAGCGCAAATTGCGGTAAAAACTTGGACTTTGTCATGTTTCGCAGCAGCCTGGAGGGCAACGCCACAAACGTAAGTGCCGACGGACGCCATTATCTGTTGCCGCTCTCCTTATGCGCCCCCGTCCCTCTGCCTACCGTTGCAGGACAACTATGCGGCGTTCCATAGCAGGGGCGGCCTCAATCTGCTGGGCCTCCAAGACCTGTACTTGGACACGGCATCCACGCTAGGTTCTGGCAGCTCCAGTCTGCCACCGACGCCCAGCGTCTCGTCGGGCACACTGAGTCCCCCCAGCACTCCTCTGACCCCGGAACCCCAGCAATACGGTTCCCAGACTCAGTTCCCCCTGCTGACGGGCAACAGTAACATGAACATGAACATGAACATGGGCCTTCACACCGGCCAGAACATGCTGCTGCACCAGCATTACCAATACCACCTGATCATCCAGCAGCAGCAGCAGCAGTTGGCGCTGGCCAACCATCACTTGGCGCTGGCCGCATCCGCGGCCGCTTCTGGCGTGAACCATCAGCAGAAGGATGAAATAGCGCGCTCCTTGAAAGTATTTGCTCAGCTGACAAGCGGCCCGGCAGGTGAGTAGGAGCAGGAGAGAAGATCGATTTACGAAATGGGAGAAAACAGAACAGAACAGATGCACGTACAGTTATCAAGTTTTCGGGTCAGTGCCCTTGTGTGCATTTTGCATTCTCCAACACTTCCGAAATTAATCAAAACAGACGCGAAAAGACGCCATTTTAAATCAGTAAAATAAAGATTTCATTAAATTTCGCAGAAAATGTGCCCGGCTCCACGCAGGATGTTATGCAGGAGTTTGCGAGCAACGGATACGCCAGTGATGATCTCAATTGCTTTGCTTACAGTCCGGCCCCTTCGCCGGCAAATCAGCTGCACCGCAATTTAGCCGCTGCCGGAGCAGCAGCCAATCATCCACCTCAGGTTGTGCCCGCACCTGCCCCACTGTCCGCACGCTGGCTCCAAAACTATCGCGAGCAGCTGAACAATGTGTGGCGCTCTATGGCCTACATGCCCTGCATTGGCACCAATGCCAATGCGGGACTGCAGGTCCACGCGCAGGCTCAGGCAGCATCAAACAATCTGAGCGCCATGGGACTAGGGCTGCCGTTGCAGCCGGATCATTTCCGACATGGCAGCAATCCAAGTAACAACAACAACAAGATGAACAAGCGCTACAAGCCCAAAGAGGTAGGTGTTACAATTCGAATGCATGGTGCAAGTTCTATTAAGGGCATTTTCTCCCGTGAACAGATCAGCCGCCATTGCGTGTTCTGTGAGAACAACAACGAACCCGAGGCGGTGGTGAACAGTCACTCGGTGCGCGACAATTTCAATCGCGTACTGTGCCCCAAGCTGCGCACCTATGTGTGCCCGATTTGCGGGGCATCGGGCGATTCGGCACACACCATCAAATACTGCCCGAAGAAGCCGATCATAACCATGGAAGATGCCATCAATGCGGAGTCATTCCGCCTGGCAAAAAGCAGCTACTACAAGCAGCAGATGAAGGTTTAGAAAAAGTCTAGCCGAAGAACCCACACGGAACTCTGGCAGTTTTAAGCTGCGCGTATATAGCTTTATATATATGCGATTTCGGTTCCTGAGCTAGATACTAGATATTAGCGCCTGGCGCGTTCGATTTTATTGTTTCTTAAACTAGTCTGCGGCTAAGAGTGTAGTCAGTGACTGATTACTCAAATCAAATCAAAATTTTTTCTCATATCGGAACCATTTTTTTACATCATAAATCAATGTTTCTACAAACCAAATAATTAACTAATAATTAGGAATACTCACAACATCGTTATACTTGTTAAATCGTGCGTGCCGATAGAAACATCTCACAAAATGAAATTTGAAAATAGTTTGTTTACGAAATTTCGGCAACATTTTCACAAATTTTGTGCAGCAAGAGGCAAATAGCGAAATAACGCTACAATTTTGAAATAGAGGACTTTGAATTTCGATCTGGTAATCGTATTAGAATATATTTTTCAAATTTGATAACGTAAAGTGAAACGAACGATTTCGTAGGCAACAAAATCATTGTGAAACTTTTTAAAATTTGACACTAAATAGTTGATAAACAAACATTTTATTACATGTATCGCAAATACATTTCATCAAGTATATTGATGTTATATATTTATTCAATCATGTTCTTCATTCGTTCGAATAATTTATCATATTCGTGGGTCTATCATGACCATTATTTTTCAATTTTTTTATAAATGTTCACCTTATATTCGCCATCATGTCATTCCAAATTCGTATGGTATATTTAAAGAGTACAATTTTATATACTTTTTCATTTTTTTTTTTTTATCAATGTAAGTACATTTGCTATCAAGTAAATCGGAACTATAATACAACCCATTATCATAAACTATTTTCAAATATGTCATAATCCAATCGGGATTTTGTGTTTAACCATAAATTCAAACTCGAATACTTTTTTCAATTTTTTTTATAAAAATGTATACAAATGAAGTTGAAGTATGTGTCAAATAAAGATATGATCAACAGTCTACTCTCCGTCTTCTTATTCCTCTTCGCCGTCGCGTTTTTTCTCGAACAGTGCCAGGAAGATGCCGTCGGTCAGATCGCTGTCGGGCAGGCAGTACAAGCAGTTCTTGCCAATTTTGGCGTACTCCTTGTCGCCCACGTTCTGCCACTTGTTGCGCAGCGCCTTCTTGCAGCTGAGCATTTTGAAGGAGGGATTCAGCTGCAGGCAGCGCTGCACCACCTGCTCGTTCTCCTCCTTCCACAGCGAGCACGTGCAGTAGGCGATTCGCTTGACGTTGGGAAAGGCGCTCATCGCATGCGAAAGGATCTTGATCTGCAGGCCGGCCAGCTTGTAAAGGCGCTTGTCGTCTTTCTGCTCGTCGCAGACGCTAATACGGCTCTGCATGCCATTGCCGGAGCAGCTCGGATCCACCAGGATGTACTCCACATCCGGACAGCGGGTTGCATCTACAGACGAAAGGAATGTTTGAGGACGGATAATCAATCTCGTTCGAATTATTTGACTTACCCATGGTCAAGGCATCGCCCAGAATGGGCGTGACAATCTCACATCCCGCCTCATTGGTAATATCGCACAAGGCCCTGTACCGTTCCTGAGACTGTTCAACGGCATAAATGCGTCCCTTGTTCTGCATCACATTGCACATGTGCAGCGTTTTCATGCCTGGAGCGGCGCAAAGGTCCAGTACGGTGGATCCCACTGGCGGTGCCAACAACTCGGCAGCCAGACTGGTGGCCTTGTTCTGCAGAATGAACTTCTTGCTGTGAACGAAGTCGTGGCCGGCCCAGTAGTGTGCCCATTTGGGATGGAATATCAGTACGCCCTCGACGTGCAGATCCGTCATGAACTCATCCTCTTCCATGGCCCGGATGGCAGTCAGAAAGTCCGCATATGTTGCCTCGGCTGGCAGCTCCTTGCGCCGCCATTCCTCGCTGGACAGGTACTCCAACGCTTCGGCAATGCTGAGCAGATTCGTATTGACGCGAACATAGCGCGGATTTGGCTCTGTGTGGTGATACAAATGAAAGAGCCACGTTTAAAAGAGTGTTAAATGTACTTTTATTTTAGTTGCTTGAACACTATGTTACTGGTCCTTCTTCTGCTCAGCTTCATCCTGCTCCACTGTAGGCGCATCCTTTTCGCGGAATGCCTTCAGCACGTAGAGAGCCACCACAGCGTTGACCACCAAGACGGCGGTCAGCACGGAATAGCAATTGCGTTCGAAGACGCTCAGTGCGGGGAAGGATTCTTGCAGCCAGCTCTGCACTCCAAAAAAGCCCAGGAAGGGCAACGTGAACATGAGAACACTATAGACCAAGAGCCAGAGAAACACCTCCAAGCTTCGATCTATCGACTGCTGGCGGGGACGCTCTGCAACTTGCGCATCAACATCATCGGCCGCTGGAACTGGCTCCGCTGCCAATACGGTTGCCTGCTTCTTGTTCTTTTTGCCCATTGCGGTGCTTTCAACCGGCTAATACTGTTACTAATACGTCAATGTAGGAACACCTGCCTTTCTTTTGGATGTTTGACCCACTTATGGCCTTCTCCAATCGTTCCTTGTACTCGCGCACCGTTTGCACCGGTTTGCTGTCGCCGTTCAGTTGGCCCCGTCCGAATATAAGCTCCGTCACCAGCACCTTAGCCAGGGCCGAGTCGAGATTGGGATTGTCCTTCAGCAGATTCGTCTCCTCAATGGCGTTGTCCACGGCACCACGATTGTCGCTATAATGCTTCAGCACCGCTTGCAGACTTCGAACGCGCTGTGGAGTGGAATGGGAAAATGTGATTTAGTCCCTCGTTCCTTTGATCGATTTTTTGCCTGTGAGTCGTCAAGGCTTACTGCATGCTTTTCCTCGAAAATTAGGGATTTGATTGACTTTTGCTTTTCCAGGGCAACTTTTAATATTTTGGCTGTGGCCTTATATTGGGTTGGAACTTTTACGGAATGCGTGAATTTACTCATGATTGTCACGTGTGCAGTGTGAACGCAGACTTATTGATACAATATACGGTCTGACCCTCAGAAATATACCGAAATATACCATACCATTTTGAAAATATACCGTAAATATACCGATGAAAAAACAAACTTAGCCCTCATAAGCCCCCTAAACCATCATAAACATGATAGCAACTTGAGTTAAACCGCGGAAAATAATACTAATAATATTAATAATAATTTCTCTTGTAGGTCCACCCTATCTATTATCTTTGAATAAAAATAAGACCACAATATCTTTCACCTAAACTTCAAGTTTCATCATTTTCGTGGAGAGTACGTCATTACACACTGCCAATGGGTTAATCGTTCTCTGTCTAAATGTTTGGATTTTGATAGAAGAGGAAGAAACGTAAAACGGTAAATTTATGGCATATTAATTCCAAAAATATAACTGTACAACTAACCGGCAATAGTTTCTCAGCAGCCAATTTGGATTTTACGTTTCATTGTAGCCAGCCTTGTTTTGCCGCCAGTTTTATCTTCCGCTACACCAATGCAGTCAGAGGACTCAGAAACTCTTACTGCGGAAGAGCAGGAGCCCACACTCCAGGACTTCAGACTCCAGAAATCGACTTCGGTTTCTAATGGCAAAGGAAACGCCCTATCAAGAAGCCAGTCACTGGCACTGTTGCAGAGGCAGGAGTCCGAGGACTCAGCTGCTCGGCATGTCCGATTTGCAGTCCGAAACAGACCTTGTGGAGGAGCAGGAGACCATAAATGTCGAATCGAAGACGTGCGACCTACCCAAGCTCAGAGGTCCTGCTAGAAAACGGCTTCCTTACCTTTTAGGAAAGGGAAAGCCCTACGAAGATGCCAAAAAACTGGCGTTGTTGCCTATGCCGTTGTTGTTATGATGACTTCACCCGAGGGAGCTCCGAGGAAGAGGGAAATGTTGACACGTGCTAATCAAATTACAACCTTCACACAAGCTCAGGAAGTCGCCTTAGTGACTGGTCCGTCGCACTGCAATGCCATCAGGACCCATAAGATGGCAATTATACATTGTGGGTATCCGTATCATCTGCTGACGACGGACCAGCTATCCACAATCCAAAGGTATATTCTGGATGAAATAGTGGCTACGAGAGCTGGGACTGTGAAGCCCCTTTTTCACGACTGCAGCTACAAACCAGGATGGATGTCTCTTACCTGCTGGGACGACCAGATTAAAGAATGCCGATGAACCGATCGATGGAGAGCAGCTTTCCTGTGGCTCCAGAGCAGAAGCCGACATCGTCCTGGAAAGCGTCCTAACCAGTCCCGATAGACCGATCGACAGCGAGTAGCTTTCCTGTGTCTCCCACCCTGACACCGTGGTGTACAGAGAATGGTGTCGTTCCAGCAGAAAAAAGCCAAGGCGAATAACGTGGCACGCCAGGTCCAATGGAACCATACCTTAAGGGATCGAAATGTCTCCACCCCTTTAGCAATCGTTTAATGAGAGTGGGGTCAGGAGGCGCCAGGGGGACCAACTCATGACCCTCATTCTACCTCTACAAGCCTCTTTCTACCTCCCAGAAGATAGTGACGAGGTGCCCACAAAGGAAGTCTGTGACCTAGTGGAGCACTGTTCGATGAAAAAATCTTCGGTGGATTAACGCCAACTGCCACCAGACGATCTGGAGCAGACATGTACAATAGTGTTAATGTAATATATATATAGTATATATGATATGTACAATGTACATATTTAATAGTACATATAAAAATAGGTGATGAAGGAACCTTTCTAAATGCTGTTGGGAGGAAAACATCTACATACATGGACCACTGCTTTGTGATCATATCTGAAGAACCCATCTTCATGGGTAATACTTTTAGAGCAGCAACTGTTATTCAAGTTATTCAAATGAATTAATTCCTTCTTTGTTTTATTTCACAACGACTAAAATGCGGTTTAAACATATCGTTTAGCTTAGCTAATAAAATTCATGCGTTTCGTTTAAAATTAAGAGCATCATATTAATTAAACACATAAGAAAAGACAAACTACAGGCTAATACAGGTTTAAATGTTAAGTGGTTATAAGTAAACCCCAAAAATGGTTAACTGCTCGCAGCTTTATGCTAATTTCAGAATTTCACTATTGCATGCCCTACGTGCTGTGGCTGTGGCTGCGGCTGCTGCTGCGACTGCTGCTGTCGGACGTGATTAGGTGCAGTTTGGTGGAAATGGGTCTCAATGAGGATGATGGGGATGGCGATGACGATGTCGATGTCGATGACTGCGGGTAGATTGTGCTTCCGCTTCCGGTGGTGGTGGTGCTGCTGCTGCTACTGCTGCTACTGGGAAAAACGGAGGCACTGGTGCGCGTGAAAGGCACCGGATTGGAGTACTCTGTCACGGGCTGAGCACCAGGCCGAACAGGACTCTCCGTTGACTGGAACTCCTCCGGCAGTTCGCCGTGGAATGCACCAAACTGCGGCGTTGTCCGTATCAGCTGCTCGAGAGGAGTGAGCCCGTAATGCGAGTGCCTCAAGAGGCCATTGTCCCGAGCATCCAGCTTGGGCGGCAGCACCAGGGACCCGTCCACCACGCTTTTGCCATCGAAGGTGTACAGCGCCCCACTGGGCAGGCCGGCGTGGGGTATCTTTCGGTTGTCCGGCGGCAGGTAGTAGGTATCGATGCGCTCTGCGGCCGCCGCCAGTTTATCCTCCGGCTCCAGCTCATCCGCATAAAGTTCTTCCTCCTGCGAGTCTGGCCCGAAAAGGCTGGCCATGTCATCGTCGAAGACCTCGTGTTCTGGCTCTTGCTCCGGGGTGACTATCGCTTGAGTGGTGCTCGATAGACCGACGGCTGCCGTCGATGGTTTCTTGGACGGCAAAACCGGCTCCTCCTCCAGCTCCTCGTCATCGAGCTTACCCCCCATCTCCTCGTCCATATCCTCACCGAACAATTCCCCTAAAGTCGGCTTGCGCAGTTGGGCGGCTGAGGGCAGAGCATGCTCCAATGCTGCCGATGGCAATCGAAGTGCCGATGCCTCATCCACGTCTGCCTCTGTGACCGCTTTCTTCATCTGAATGGAGGCATTGGTGCTGTCCAGGGGAGAGGGTATGAACATGGGCTCGAAGCTCTGCGTCTCGCTTCCTCCCTGCTGGGCTGCCAGGAAGAGTGTGTCCGTTTCCATTACCTCATCGATCTCGGTGCCTGGATCCTCGCGTCGATGTGCCACCTGATCGATCAGCTCCGGCGGCAGTTGCACACCGCTGCCATCGGTCCGCATAATCGGCCGGAACCCACTCTCCACAATTACGGTATCGGGCTTGAAACCCTGATTGACGGCTGGTCGCATGCTGGCAATCTCCTGGGGCGAGGGCTCCTTCTGCAGGGGCCGCTTGACGAGGATCGTCGTGGTGCTGGTGGTTGGCTGAGCCGTCGGGTTGGATTTCTGCTCCGGTTTCGAGTGGGGGTTAAAAAAGGCCGTGCTTTGTTGGGATCCCTGCGGTTCGTGGTCTATGTAGGGCACTGGCACAGGGATGACAGACTGTGGCTTTTGTTTCGGCTTGGATCGTTCCGCGTGCTCCGCCTTACGCTGGCCGCTGGCCCCCAATTCCGTGGGCTGTCCAAGCAGCAGCACCGATGCGGCTATGGGCTGCAGGGGGAAGGGCTTCTCCTTGACAAACGGCTTCAGCAGACTGGGAACGGGCTTGCGATAGTGGTTCACGATCAGCGAGGACTGCTGCAGGATGGCTGCCGGATGCGGATGGGGATGCTGCTGCGGAAGGATGGGCCTGGAGGCGGGCACCTTCTTGATGGGACCGGGATAGGGCCGTCGCCCGGGCAGCTTCACCGGATGGAAGAGCGGCGCATTCTGCGGCGGACGCAGATACTCGGACAGACCGATGGTTTTCTGGGCGAGCGCTGGAAGGTTACTCGTTAGATTGTGGTGATGCAGTGGATGCGGGTGCGTGTGCGGGTGCAGATGGGGGCTTATAATCGAGGGCGGGTGTGGGGCATGCTGCGGATGGTGCAGGCGGTGCAAGTGCAAGTGAGAGTTGTGTATGAGATGTGGGCCAGTGGCAAAGATGGGAAGTTTCGGGTGAGTGGGTAACGACAACGATGAGGGGGATGCAGATGCAGATGAGGATGCGGATGCGGATGCAGATGATTTTTGAGAATGGGTTTCGCCGAGCAGTATCTCGGGCCGGACGGTGGCTAGTTGGGGGGGTAATCGAGAGCCATTGATGGTTATCAGGTGGTGGTCTTTAGGACGTATCGGCGGATGGGGACCCGAGTTCACTTCGTTCTGGTGGGGGTTGGGGCTGGGATTGGAGTTGGAGTTGGAGTTTGGGTGCTTCCTTAGAAGGCTCTCCTCGAGAGCCTCAGCAGCGCGGATGCCATCTGAAATCAGTTTGGTTATTTCCGAAGATTTCGTTATTTCAAAACTCAGTTTAGGCGGTGTTCCGTTCATATTGTGGTTCTTAATCAAATCGGTTTGGTGCTTCAATAAAAAATTATCGTTGGGGCTGACCTGGGTTTCGTGTCGGATCGATGGCTCGGCGGCATAGTCCTCGTGGACGGGCGCCGGTTCGGCCGCAGCCGCTGGCAGACGGATCTCGTGCTGCTCGGAGGCTGCCCCCTGGCCACCCACATCGCCCTCGCACGAGTCGTGCACGTGTATCTTCCAGCCCAGATAGCGGTGGGTGAAGCAGTGATAGTACACGGTGTCCGGTGTGTTCCTATCCGGCTTCCAGCTGATCACCCCTGGCTCGCCAGCATCGCACTTGAGTGTCAGGGTGCGCTGGTAGGCCCCGAAGGATTGGTAGTCATCTGCCGGCGGTCCCTCCACATCCGGGGTCCAGTTGCACAGGCGGCCCACGCCGGTGGGCGTCACCTGACCCGATCGCGAGCGATGAACTCCAGCAAATATGCGAACAGCCTGGGAATTGATATCCAAATATTAAACAGCTGGACCAGGGATCACTCTCCAAACTGTGGTCTCACCTTCTTCTCCTCCTCGCGCTTGTGCTCGTAGCCGCCGACAGGATCATCGCTGATGTAGAATGGATGGTATTTGGCCGGGATGTCGGGGTTGTTGCCTCCCTCCACCACGAAGGTGTAGGTCTTGCCGCGCACCACATGGATTTCGGGGATGAGCAGGCCGTTGATGTACCAGGAAATGCCCCAGCCAACGTGGCCTACAGCAAACAAGAGATTAGATATCAAAGCGTAGAAAGAAGCCCAAAAAAACACTCACCCGTGATGGCTGGATAGCCATGCTTTCCGCCAGTTGGACCCATCTGGGCATAGAAGACGCCATCCTCCGGTTCGTGGCACTGGATGGCCGGAATGTCCCAGGCCCCGTTGCTGTTTACGGGCTTGGGTGTGGGCACCGGGCGTCGCTGCGTAATGATGGCCGTCTCCTGGCGCCTCTGAGGTTGCTGGCGATGCAGAGCCTCGGCACGATTCTCGTAGAACTCCTCCTCGGGCTCCAGATTGGGGTGTCCAGCGGGTGGATATCCTTTGCCTCCGGTTGAGCTCTGGGCCTGGGGTGCGGCTTCTTCCTGCTCGTCGGAGCTGCTGCCCGGCTTGGCGCCCTCGGGCAGGGGACAGTTCCACTTGGGCTGCCGACCGAACTCGATCTGATGCAGATGTTTGTTGTAGAAGGTGTGGAAGGAGACCTCTTTGAAGTCGTTCAGGGGTCCGATGGCCCAAACCACGGACTCGGCGTCCGTGACGGAGATGGGCAGATCCAGGCGATCGGTGGCCGCCAGCGAGCGCTGATAGGTGACAATCGAGTAGCCATTGACCATGGCGGCATTCAGCAGACGGATGGAGTTGGTCTTCTCCATGATCTTGGTGTCGGGACAGGCACCGCGGCTGCCGGAGCACTGGGCCTTCCCCTCCAGGAAGTAGTCCTGGGCGAAGCCGTTGCCCGTCTCCGGATCCACCCAGGCTACGACCGCATCGGCTCCGATCATCTGGCTGATGTTCTTGTTCGGCGAGATGCCGAAGGACATGTAGTTGTTCGGTTCTGTGGAGGAGCAATGAGAATGAGAAGCACTCTGGGTGATGGGATGGGCGGAGAGTGTAGGGGGGAGGGGCTGCTCTGGATTGCTGTTATGAAAATTCTACGGGAAATGGCAATCAACGAAAGTTGCTTGACCCAATTCCGGCCTGGCCTGGCCTTCTGGTCTGGCCAACCGGTTGGCGGGCATTTTCCAGGTGAAAATTCCTGCCGGCATTCTTAGCGGTTCCAAGACCAACAGACCAGCGTCAGTGGCAGTGGCTCCTAGATGGAGATGTTATTGCAACTATAACTATGGCGATGCTCGACGCTCGTTGCCCATGCCCATGCCTTAAGATTGCAGATGCAACCAGTAAATTGTTGTGGCCCCCGCCTCCTGCTATCCATCCATCCATCCATCCATCCATCCATGTATCCATCCATGTATCCATTCATGTATCCATCCGCACTCGCAGTTGCGCAATAAAACCAGTCGTCATAATTCGCGACTTGTTATTCTGCCAACGATGCTGATCGCTGATGCTGCCGATGCCGCTGTGGATGCTGATCGGTCAATTTGGATGCTAACTGGATTTCATTGTTGGCCCTCTCCCCTCTCCCCTCTGCCCCTCCTTCTCCGTTTGTACGGGTATGTTTCTGTCTCTCCTTTGCGAGTATTAACTGTACTTGAGAAAATGTCAAAGCATCATAAATCAACAGAAGCTGAAACTGATCGAGGTGCAACCGCATGGGACGAAGGCTTGTCACTGCCTGGGATAGGTCAGGCCAAGGGTGTGACGATGGGACGATCGCGCCTCTCTGTCTCAGTTCTTTGTTCACTCTGAACTCACGAGAACATATTCTTATACTTCTGTAGGAGCCACTGAAACGGTGAATCCTGCTTAAGTTGAGGGACTTCTATACTTTGTCACGTCAATTCTGTTACTTCGAGATTTATAAATATCTGTCATGAGCCGGCACCCGAATGGTTTCGGTGAGATTTTTCCTGAGTTGGATCCGAAAATTTCGGTTTTTTCTTCTCGCTCACTCTCTATTTGATTTTCTGGTAGAGAGAACGAGAAAGCAATACACAAGTTTGCTGATTGCCTGAGAGTCTTCGTACTAATCGAAAGAATCAAAGAGGCCTGAGGCTGTAATTTAATGAAAACTGTGGATACATGCAGGACCACGATTACAAGATTTCAAAACAAATTCTTCAAGATAAGGAGATTTAAATTTTCCATAGCTTAGAGAACATATCTCTACTCTTTTTTTTTTGAGTGTACCATCCCCACCAAAAAGAGGCCTAACCATAAGTTAGCATCTGCATTAAACCAGCAAAAATTAACACACTCCTCGTCCACTCTGTAAAACTGCTAAGCTCGAATCGTTTTCACACTTTGCTGAATGTCAACGCAGTGGGAAGTGGTTGGGGGATGGATGGAGCTTGCAATAGCTTCCGCATTAATTAGCACTAATCCCCGATGACTTACCCAATTTGGCCACCAATTGCACCACAATGCTCTCCCCGGCCACGGCCCAGCGCACCTCAAAGGCCAGATCGTCGTAGAGCACCTCGCAGTTGAGTTTCGACTGGAAGAGAATTGGTTTAGGGAGATTTCGCTTTAGGAATGGGATTTCGGGAGCACTGGTTGGGCGGGTAGCGGCTGTGAATGGGGTGGTGTGTGTGCATGTGTGGCGTGGAGGGGGGGGTGGTGTGGAGGAAGGAGAGGGGATTGCCAAAGTCATAATTTTGAGCATACCCAAAATGTTTGTACTCTTTTGTTCTGCTGTATTCGAAAGATTTTGCTTTTTGGAATGGTTTTTTACAAAATGAAAAATGTTTTTATTTTTTTTTTTTTTTTTTGGGTTTCGCTTGGATGTTAGTAGTGGAGATCGGATCGGGAATTGGGAATGGGTATGTTCCTGTGTTTACATGTGTGTGTGTGTATGTGGGGGTTTGTGGGTGTCTTTCTTTGTGTGTGTGTGTGTGTGTGTTGTGGGGGAGTTGAGGAGGAGTCAGTGATAGGGGGTCAGTGTCCCAGAAGTAGACATGCCACACAGATTTCATTTTGTATAAGACGCTCCCAACGAACAGCAAAAGTTGATCAAGACAACAAAACACAAATAACAAGCACGTGAGTATTACAAGTACATATATATATTAGATATATTACAGAATGTGTCTGGATTATCTCCCTCCTCTTCTTCCACACACACTCTCCCTCTCTCTCTCTCCTTCGTCTTCTCGTATAAAGAAATGCAAGCTTAGAGTCTAGGAATTTGCCAGGCGAAATGCCGCGGCCTTGGATTGATAAATATTCGCATACACAACGGAATACGTATACGTAAATTAGAATAAATACGATTGTTTAAATAGCTTTTCACTTTTCACACATTGGTCCCTTTCGGCGGCAATCAGCGCTTCAGGTCGCTGAGTATTTGACTGATCGGCTTCTTTACCTGTGGACTGATGCCGAGCATCTTCAGCGATGGCGGCACATTGAGGCCCTCCGGCAGGCGGACGTGGCCGAAGTCGACGGTAAAGGCCTCGCACCACACGCCAAAGTGGCCGATGTCGAAGATGGTCAGGTCCTCGGGCAGGGTCAGGACGATGGTCTTGCGCTCGTAGCGACGCAGCGGATTCTCCTTGCCGTTCTCGTCGGGTATGCGCAGCCCCTCGGGCGTGGGACGCTGTCCCCGACCCACCCAGAATTTGGCATCTGTAGGAATATTCAAAAACAACTCCCCGTCAGTAACCATAGGAGCTCGAAGGGCGGAGTTCTACCCACCAGGCGCCTCGCCGTCATAGCTGAAGTTGGGCACCAGCAGGGTCTGGGCATCCACGATCACAATGTTCTCGGAGGACACGCCGTGGACGCCGCGCAGAGCGCTAATCTTCTGGGGCCGGGGAAAATCCAGACTGGCCGGGATGGCCACATCCCCGAAGTTAACCGCAAACTCGTCGCACCACACCGAGAACCATTTGATGTCGCGCAGCGTCTTGCCCTCGGGCAGCGACAGGGTGATGTCCTTGTTCCGGTAGCGGCGCGTTAGGGAGGCTGTGCCGCCGCGCTCGTCCCTTAGCCGGGTGGCGCCCTCGTTGCTGGGCCGGGCCGTATTGCCCACGTAGAAGTAGGCGGCCGGGGCCTCGCCGTCGTAGCTGAATTTCTTGATGAAAATCGTGCGCGAGTCCACTGCATAGACATCGCCGGAAACGCCATGGTGCAGACGTGTTAGAGCCCCGATCTTCGTGCCGTAATACGGATACGCGGCATCGCTGGGGCTGGGCAGGCCTGGGGAAGCACACCACAAAATAATGAGAGACTTACAGTCGGAGCCACGACAAAAGACTTAGGCAACAAACTCGAGCTGACTCAGTGATTAATAAATAACTAACGATATACCCATGAAATGAAATCTCCATCGCCACTTGGCGGCCACTTAATTATTCGCATACGATTTACATATCAACAGCACTAGCCCCAGGTTCTAAGCAAACAAATACATACTCGTAAAACCCTCCCAGAAAACCAAATCCCAAACAAACAAATCAAACAATCAAATCTTTCGATTTGAAAATATCTGGTTCGGTTCTCTTTGTTCTTTTTTTTTGTTGTATTTTCGCCTAGAGGAAGTTGCGGATTAGCGGATTTACGGAAAATAAACTTTGAAAACAATCAACATTTTGTGATGCGTGCCCTAATGGGAAACTACATAACTCTTTTCTGTCTCTGTTTCTGTTTTTTTTTTTTTTGTTTTTTTGGGAGATGAATGGTTCTAAGCCGACTCTAATGGCCTCCCTGGACTGTCTGTGTTGGCTTTTGCGCATGTCGTTTCAAAATTCCCACTTCACCTTCACACAGACTATGCTGGTTGTTGTTCAAATTCAATTTATTTTTATTTTATTACAATCTTTTCGTTGTTGTTGTTGTTTTTGTTGTATGTGATTTGGTTTTTGCATGGGCCATAAACACGTTTGGCTTTTTAACTGCCATCAAATGGTTTGGTCGGGGCGACATGGTCGCCATGGCCTGCAGTTTTTTCTCTCTCTCTCTCTATCTTTTATTTTTGACACAACCCGATTGGGTTTTTGGCCCGATGGTTGGTTCACTTTTCATGTGGCCATGGCTGTTGGTGCTCCAAATTTTGCGCAGACATGGACGAGTCTTTCTTGTTTGCCAGTAGAATGAATCTTCCGCTTTGCACCACTAAAATGTACCAGAATTCCGCGTCATCGATTCAAAATCGATGATCTGAGGGCGGGGGGTGCGGAGCAGAGACTTTGCCAAAATGCCAAAGGTGTAATTAAAAGTTAAATAAAACCAAGCACCGCATCGCATCGCAGAAACTCTGTGCAATCAGAGGCGAGCGGTGGTGTGTCTTATTAATGATGATCGGGCTAAAGTTAGACAGAGCCATTAGGCAGCAGTGGCACCAGGCCCCGGGTAGGTCTACCTGGTCGTCAACTGTTGGCCAACGAACTGGTTGGGGGCAATTGCCAATTGCCAATCATTGGAAGCCACTCGTATTGCCAAACCAATAGATAAAGATGCAAATGCAAATGCAAATGCCTATTCAGCATCTGCAAAGAGTATCCACGAGTACTTAGCCGAATCCTCAACCTACAGACCTACTTTCACGGTGCAGAACGGCTTTTCCCACATCGAGTGCCTGCCTGGAGGTCTCCGAAATGGTATCAAGGAAACAGACACCGCACTGAAATTTATGCTAATCTCTGATGGAAATGCTAATGCAGTCGGTCGGCCAGTCAGTCAGCGAGAGACAATTGGAGTTGGTCAGTCTGTCAGTTGGCCAGTTCAACGGTCAGCGCAGATCATAAAAGCTGTTGAATATTCATCTGGCTCACTTTACACTCACAAAAGATGATGTATACACACATAATGCGGATAGATAGACAGACAAATAGACAGACCTACAAATTCGGCGTGTCATTGAGCTGTGTGATGGTGGGCTCATTGTCCGGGCCGCCCTCTGGCCATAAATAGTGGCCACTAATCTAGTTTCTGTCTCTACGGGCATATCTCCGCTCTGTCTGCGTCTGGGTCTGCAGCTCGATCTGCCTCAATTTGCATCACAATGGCACTTATAAATCATTGCCCGGGGTACTTACAGCTTAATGCGGCCAATAGGCCAAATAGCACCAGCCAAGGTTTATCCTTCATTGCCAGCATGGCTAATTGATTGTACATGTATGAGTGTTAGCTCGTGTGTGAGTGTTTTATCTGGGCTAAGGCCCGATTTTGTTTCAATTAATTGCAGAGGGATGTGTTATAATCCTTGCCACAGCACAGCACAGCACAGCACTGAAAGCACTCTGAAACGGAGGCAGACGGACACCTCTCTCGCATACGCGAACACACTTCAACTCGAACTCGTATCGGATCGGATCGGATCGAATCGCACAGTGCAACAACTTTATAAGCGATCGATGGTTGGGGGATCTCGACCAGACGCAACGAACTCCAAAACCGCACTGAACGACAACGACGCTGCGTCTGCGCTGTGGGGCCGAGCGAAGAGTTGAAAAACTTTCAGCCCCCGCCCCCGCCATCCAAGCTGCTGCTGAATGCGGCTCGTTGTTGAAACTGTTGTGAAGCTGACGTTGGTGAAGCTCTGACTGCGTCGCTAGCTTTGTTGGAGTCTGGTTTTCACACTCTGCTTGTTGTTGTTGGTGCTGTTTCCATGTTGTAATTACAATTGAGTGTTTGTTAGAGTGGTTGTTGTTGCTGCTGGTAAAAGGTGTTGTTGAAGCTGGTGTTGGAGTGGTTTGTGGTATCTTTCCTCGTCTGATTTGTGATGTGGTTGTTGTTGGTATTGTTGTGGCTTTAACCCGTCTCATCAGCGTCGGCAATAATTATCACAGTCACACAGCCTCATCTAACTTCAAACGTCTTTCAGCCGGCACCTTTTTGGTAACACGAAATATATATATATGTATATATGTATTTTTGCACATCTTTTGTCATGTTTCTTGTTGTCGCTTTTGCCGTTTTATTTTGTATTTTTGCCTATTTTTTTTTTGGGTTTTTGCTGTTGTATTTAAATGTTATTCTGCGTTTTGAACTTGTTTCACTGCTAATGCAATTTATTTTTGTCAAATTATGCGATAATTATGGTCGATAGAGCTGAGGTGGAATCGAAAGGGTAGTATTGGATGATGTGAAAGAAGAAAAAGGTACAAATTTGCACAGTCTGTTAACTAATTTTTCATGTTTTTAATCAGTATAACTAAATTAGTTATTTAGATGATTGAAATGTTTAATATATACGTTAGATATCCTCTCGATTCTACATATTTCTGCTTTTCAACGTCTCTATTTTCTCTTTTTCGATTGTACAATCGACTATTTCCGCGATAGTTGATAGTCCCTTGATAGCCACAACTTGAACACGATTGTTTCTCGTACTCCTGGAGTTAAATAAGCCCAATCCCAAGCACACACTCGTATATTTCGTATACCCTTTGGGGCCCCTGCACTGTGATTGCACTTTCGATAATGCCCCTTTACTGGATTAGATAATCGCGCATCGCTCTTAATTTCCCATGATGGATGGAATGGATAAATGGTCGGAGGGATGCTTTGATGGAAGGTGAAAGAAAGCGAGATTGGCAATTCGTGATCCGCGGCCAAGTTCACAGCTGGGGGGCTCTGGGACTCGGTGCTGCTCGTGTTGGCCCGCGGCCCAGAGCAGTACAGCCGAAACTTTCCCGTGCAAAGGGAGCGCGCACAAAGGTCAGAAGACTAAAGACTGTAGCTGTACTGTTATTGCCGGCTTGTTAACCGTTTGCTTTGTGCTTGCATAATTCAATTAAAGCTTCAATTATAATTATGATAATTTCCTGGCTCGAAACAAAGCCGCGACATTGAATATGAGTGTATTCAATGAGTCAAGGCAGGTCTAGAGCCGATGTCTCATCTAGGTTTGGGCATCCTTTTGTTCTGTCCCCGGTCGGGGCCTTGGGAAGCTTTTTGGGATCTTTGTACCTTTTGTTTGGCCATATACCATACAAAATGTTTGACTTATAATCTTTCTTTTGAACAGCAACAAAGGAAAAGATGAATCAATAACGATATGTTGATGTTGATGATTTTTGTGTTATAATTTTGCCAAATTCAAATTAAGTTTCAACAGATTTTTACGAATTTGCCTAAATGCTTAAATCGTTCGAATCGTATTTATTTTTGCAACGCTTTTACTGGGTTACTTCGAACGTGATCGGTGGTAGGGTTCCCGATGTACATAATTATAAGGGAAATGCTGAAAATACAGAAATGAAGAAAAAACGCACATTTCGTATAAATTACCGACAGTCATCATGTTTCAGGTCTCTTTCACTTTGAAGACCGGGCAGAGCCACAAAAAGTCATATTTCTTTTATGAAACGCTTTCATAACCAACTCCCTGCAGAAGTGGAGGCCTGGGCAACGGCAACGGCAACGGCAGTCACTCCTCTTCTCCCTATGCCAGTCTTCGTAAACCCCAAACGAAATTGAGGTCCGGCCGTCTCCAATCTGGGACTGTGACTGCGACTGCGACTGGGACTGCCTCAATGTGCGTAATTTGAATTGCCATCAAATTAGTTTTTAATTTCTCAACTGACATTGGGTATACAACGAACAGCGAACAACGAACAGCGAACACCAACTCCGACACGAATAAACATTAATAATTCAAACATGGAGCTACCACATTTGGGTGCCCAGCTGCTCAGCCGGTCAGCTGGTCAGCCGGTCTGGTCTGGTCCGGTCGGGTCGGGTCTTCTTCTGGCCACTTTCGCATATGCATCGCATCGCCGCTCTTCAGGCCATTAGATTTATGACTTTAAGCCGCATTCAAATACTACGCTTTTTGCTGTCCGTCCCCGTCCCCGTCCCATTCCCAGTCCCGGTGCCCGTGGCTTTTCGAGTTGATTGATCCGAAAATTATGCACGAAAAGATCCAAAACAAAATCCAGCCATGATGAAGTCTGAGCGTGTCGCGTAATTAGCCTTTGTTATGCGAATTTCTTTGGTGTGGCAGCGGGCTGATTTATACCTGACAGTTGGAGGTGGACTCGTCGATGGGTTTGGCTTTTGTCTTAAGCTTCGCCCGAAATGCGATTTCATGACAGATCGAAGATCGTGGAAGAATAGTCACCCTACCTATCGTTTTTATGCAAGCGAAAGTTGTTTTGGCTCTGAACTTGGTTCGACACTTTGATTTTATTACCATTTCCTGTCTCGCTGTCAGCATTTCCTCTCACTTGCATCGTGCATTTCAATTTCAAATACATTCAAGGTGCAATAACTTTCAGTATTGTTGCCAAACTGCTCAACCTAAGGTCAATCTCGAATCTGAAATCAGAGGGGGGCCTGTCCTAAAAAATGGAAACAAATCAAATAAGTGCGAAATGCTATTAAATCTTGGGGCAAACATCCTATTTGAAAAGTAAATAACATGAAAAGAGAGCTGGCGTTGGAACATCGAAGCTGTAAGTACTCTACAATTGCAAAAGAATTTCATATAAAAATTATATGTTATTGCCGAAATGCAAGATTGCTTTTGGCTCCTTTGGGCACCTTCTAAACTCAAAGACGATACCTCTCGCTAGGGTATTGAGATTGGAGAGAAAACTTAACTTAATTTATGATCCGTTGACGCACTGACGAAGCACATTCTAATCAGGCCCCAGATTCATCCGCAGAGGCGAAAATAACATTCACCTTCTACCCCCAAAAATATATTAAAAAAAGAAACAATGAATAATGCTGAATTTGTTATCAGTTTGTTGTTTTGTCAGGCCAATCGCGTGCCTTAAATTTTAATTAATTTAATTAGTCTCGCGCTAGAGACAAGAAGTACCCAGAGACGATGACCTTGGGCCAGCAGCCACGGAATGGTACGTGGGAGAAGGTGAGGCGCTGTGCTGTGCTGTGGGGCCTCTTGGCTGCACATGGTTTACGACTTTATTGTTCAGGTGCTGACACGACACCTCCTACTTCTGCTTCGCCTCCTCCAACTCCACCACTTCTTCACCAATTCAAGGTCAGACGCCACCTAATGCCGATGCTGATGCTGGGACTGATGCTAAGACTGATGGTACTCTGGACTGACACTGCTGTCTGTGCAATGGTTTCTCATTTGAATTTTTACCACATGCAGCTAGTTTTATGCTTTGCATTTGCAAATAATGCTCCCAGAGTTAGTTCTGTGTTTGCCTTAGGAGTGGAGTGCCAGTATTTATGGCCCCGGCTCGTGTAATTAATCTTCTGTAAAGCTGTAATAAATGCGAATGCAAACACAGCCGAATGCAGTAGCAGTAGCTGTAGCCGTAGCCGTAGCCGTTGCCGTATTAGCCACTGTGAGCCGCATGCCATTCGTTTTAGCCTTTTGGCATAAATCTCATCTCCTCTCCTCTCCTCCACGCTTATTTATCATTTTGCCATTTCCATTGGGCGACTCTTTATGGCATTTGCTCTAGCTGGCTGCACTTACCTCGTCGCCTGTTGGGGGGCACGGGCACGGACACGGGCACTTGTGGATGATTGGGTGGGTCGAGGCGAGGCGACACATGTAGTCAAAAAGTGGCACTTGCTGTTTTTGTTAACACAACATTGAAAACTTGCGTACAAATATTTTTGTAGTTGCAATGACTGGAGGAGTACACAAAATATGTACCTTCTTGATAGAACTGTAAAAAATATACATGTAACAGGTACAGAGATTATGCTTTACAATATTTTAAATATTTTGGTTTACATCAAATCTGAATTTTATTTTACTGATCACCTTCAATTTATTCGGAAGATTTCCTTGTTTAGTGATTTACATTTTAAAGAAGGTGTAATGAATGTCTGGGGATAAGTATAGTCCCATGATTCCTCAAACCAATGTAGGATGCAAAAATATTACTATTACGGAGGAAATTAATAAATTAAGGTGTAATTAATTTGTTTAAGATTCGGCTGTCAAGAATATACAATATGTAGGCAGCAATTAAATAATCTCATAAACCCTCTGGGTATACCAAGGGCAGGGTATACCATATCCTTTTGGATATGGAACTGTAGACAGACTACAAGTTTTGGAGAACTAGATGGAAATGAACCTATTCTATTCTTGTATATGTTGTGCTGTATTTTAGCCCTGTTCTGTTCACCTATAACTTGTGTTCTGTCAAGATTTCCCCGTCTGATCCGTTCGTCTAACTATATGTCCTACTGTGTTTTGTTCCGGCTCTATAGTCCTATACCTTTGGCTCCGTCTCTGTCTGAACCTGCCTATCCATTACCTTCCATTGGCCCTTGTTTTCTTCCTGCTGGTTCCTATCAAAACGTACATTTTCTACATTTTCGAAATTTTCCCTATTTTCTATTGTATTGTATATCTGTATCTGTATCTTAACCATTTCTAATTCCTATTTTCACGCCTTTTCAAGTTTGTGCAATGAACAGACCGGCAATTAATGATTTCGCACACTTTTCGTGTACGCCGTTGAAATGTTGGATTGAGAAATCAGAGTTACAGCCACAGCCAGACAGAGGGAGACAACGCATAAAAGCCCACGCATATGTACATACATACATATAAGTAAATATGTACAACTATACACCATAAAAAAAAAACATGTGAATATTGCATTCAACAGAGATTTGTACATACTTACATGCAAGTATGTTTGTACCTACATATGTGCATATGTGAGATCTGATGTAACTAAAACAGACAGACAAGTGGGAGACCAGACAAAACCCGCTGATCACACCCAACACACGTGTCACACAGAAGAGGGAGAGGAAAGAGCAACGAAGTGCATATTATGCGACGAACACCGGAATCAACTGAGAGATTGAGCAATACGAGTAGTAAGTGGGGGAATTGAAGAAGCACCCAGAGCTAGATCTAACTCACTAAATAACAATTTAGTTATCAAAGTCAATGCCTTAAGTGGTACAAACATTAAAGTTCATAAAGAAACATCTAGCAAATTGCAGCAGAAACGGAACAGCACAACAGAAGCATTAACACTGGGAGACACTGTTACTTAACATGTTTCCAACTGTTATTTAACATTGCGAGAGCCACAGCCAAACACAGAAATTAACAGAGAGAGGGAGACCAAGAGTAAGGTATGGTATGCTTTGGGGCCGAGCTTTTGATACCCTTACAAGACGATCGAAATACATTTATTGAAAAACAATTTAGTTTGTTTTGCAAAGATTTGTTTTCAGCCCGATCGCTTCTAAGGCAGCTTCATTTATAATATATAAAAATCGATCTTGCTTCTTTTCATCTGAGCAGTATTAATAGACATTTGTTTGCAATATTTTAAAAGTACCAGATATGTTTTTACCTGACGATCATATATGCATACAACATATGTACAGCATATGTACATAGTTACTAGAAATCAACCTCTACTTGAAACCAAAATGCCCTCTGCTAGGGTATAAATAGAGAGAGAGAGAGAGAGAGAGAGAGAGAGAACATATGTTTAGAATATTTAACGGTTAAGCAGCCAACGCAGCGCCGCGTGGGAGCTCGTCCGCCCCTGCCCTCTGCGCACGGTCTGCTTTGCTCTGCTCTGCTCTGCTTGATATTTCCGAGCATTTTTCGAAAATTTCTCTACCGTTCAGTTTTTAAAGACCCGCGAACCGCGAAACAGTACAAACCGTTGCTCGTTCTGTTTAAAGATCTCCCATTTTCGATCGATTGAAAGAAAACAAGAGTTGGCGAGTTGTGCGATCTTTCAGTTAAAAAGAAAAGTAAAACCTATTGATTTATCGAGGCTCTTACTCACACACACACACACACACACACGAACAAGATGCACAGCAAATTGTTGGACGAGGTGGGTCAAGTACTAAGTATTTTCCGCCTTTAAGAACTAATATTCGATCGGTCTTCCCGATTCAGCGAGTCTATTTTGGTGGGTAAATGGCAAGCATCGATTTATTTATTGGTAGACGCGATGGCATCCAACGTCAGCATGGGGGAACGGTGTGGTAATAGTTAGTCATGCCCATTAAAATTATCCTGGCGGTTGCGTTCTTGCCAGAGTGTCATCGTGTTATTTACATCCATCAGAATCATAAACATTTCGTTGAGTCGACTCATTTCGAGGAAAATTCAACTGCGGAAAAGCATTCTTTTGTTGGACGAAAGAAAAGACAAAGCGAACGATTCTTAGTAGCAATTGAGGAAACGATTTTCGAACCAGAATGGGATCTTTGATTTCCAGACAAGTTCTTTGTGGAATTGACGGGGCCCATAGTAATAATATACCTACTCGAATGGGGCTTAATTATGGTTTGAAATGGTTTGCGGACAAACTGGTTTCGTTAGTAAACATTTTGATATAATGGAATTGAATATTCAATTCAGCACGAAACGTGCGGCAATTCCCACTTAACCAAATGGATCAAGACTGGAATTGAATATTCTAAAGCCCAGACAAGTTCTAGTTCAACAAAGCTCTCAATTGTAGAATGACCACTTAAGCAAGTTCTAGTTCAACAAACAATAAATTGACAAACATAGGATTGCCAAAGGCGCGGTTGTACTTGTCGTAATAAAAGTCAAACAGATCGGAAAATCGATTGCAGAATCATTTATAAGTAGCATCTACTACCCCATATATAGTATAACACTCCATACCGATGATTTGATGCTTCTGCGATTCGTCAAACGATGGACAGCTGACACGATTCGATCGCTGCCACCTCTTCGATGAACGCAGGTGTGTTCCGTTCCTCTGTTCGTTCGTTTTGTTTCATCTGTTTGAGTCACGGCGACTATTTTTACTCTCGTTTTTCATTTTCTAGCCATTTCAATTTATTTAATTTAACCCCACTCGCAGAAAGAGCAAAATTGTGGGGAAGAAAGAGAGCGCACCCACCAGGAAAATGATATATGTCTTTCTAATGTGTTTACCAAACCGAAATTTGTTTACCCTTCTGTCAAAGAATGAAATATTGAGTGGCTAACAGATAAAGAAACATCCCATTTCTGAATATTCTTCTCATCAAATACTATTATTGTTTTGGTGGCCAAATCGAACGGTGAACACATCATACCCCATTTGTTAAAAAGAAGACACATAAATGTGAGAATTTAAATTTTACGTTGACTGATTTCAATGAATGAGCACGATTTTCAGTCCACTAGTTTGGGCTACATTTTGACATGCATCAGAATTTGTTAATTAGCAAATGCTGAAAGTTCAGACAATGAAACAACGCGAACAAAGAGTATTCAAAAGAGGAGAGTGCAACGTGGGGCAGGGGGCACGCGCGTGCCCGTTACACAGTCATATAGATAACATCTCAAGCCCCCATTACCGGACCTACTCGAACAGACTGGGACCGGGCCAGACGAGACGGCGCAGGCGATAAGAGTCCGCACAAAGATTATGAGTAGAGTAGAGAGACCTTCACCCGCTTTCATGGGTATTCCATGCAAACCAGTGACCAATTTTTCCACTCACTCGTTTACAGCTGAACGAGAATGGCTACGTTGTCATCGAGGACTTCCTCACCGCCGAGGAGGTGGACTCGCTATATCAGGAGGGACGGACCCTGTGCCTGGATGCCCCACAAACGAATCGGAAGATCTTCAGCACGATCAAGGCCGAAGATGCACACAGCAAGGAGCTGTACTTCATGGATTCGGGCGACAAGGTGCGCTACTTCTTCGAGAAGGGAGCTGTGGGCGAGGAGGGGCAGCTGCTGGTGGACCCAATGATTGCGCTGAACAAAGTGGGACACGCACTGCACGTGGAGCACCCCACTTTTAATGCGATCACATTCAGCAATCGCGTGAGGGAGATCTGCTGGCAGCTCAACTTCAACCGTCCGGCCGTGTGCCAGAGCATGTACATTTACAAGAATCCCGGCATCGGGGGCGAGGTGATTCCCCACCAGGACTCCTGGTACCTGCACACAGAGCCCAACTCCGCGGTGGGCTTTTGGATGGCGCTCGAAGATTGCACCCTGCAAAACGGTTGCCTGCAGTTCATCAAGGGCTCCCACAAGAGCGGCGTGCATCGGCGCTACATGCGCAATCCCGACACGAATGCCACTGAGCTGATGGTCTACGATCGTGCTGCTCCAATCTATCCGCAGTCCAGCTTCGCACCGATCCAAGTCAGCAAGGGTGAGTAGGAGGACCAGAAGTTTCCAAGAAAGCCATAGCAATGACCTCCTTTTATTTGCAGGCACCTGCATCCTCATCCACGGCAATGTGGTGCACAAAAGTGAACAGAACCGGTCACAGAAGAGCCGTCATGCCTACACGTTCCACGTGATCGAGACTGAGAATAATGTGATGTACTCGGAGGATAACTGGCTGCAGGCGCCGCAGGACAAGCCATTCCCCGTGCTGTTCGAGCGCAAGGCCTAAGGAACGGATCGTGATTTGGTATTCTTTGCTTATAAGTCCTCTTAAGTTTTGTTTTACATGCCAAAATGTATGAAATAATCGTAAATTTAATGATTAAATGCAGTATATTTTGAATTTGAACGGTGTGCAAGCAGTGCAAGAACAGCTGTTAGTGTGAAAGCAGTGAACAGCGTTGGGAGTGCTGAAGCAGTTCAGAAGGAGTGAGAGTGTGTAAGCAGTTCAAAAGATGTGGCAGTGTGTTGTTGGTTGTGTTGAAGCAGTTCAACAGCCTAGTGTGGAAGCAGTTCCGAAGCTTAGGTAGTGTTGAAGCAGTTGTACAGTCCAGGTAGTGTTGAAGCTGTGCACAAATCAGTTGATCAAAACAAATGGTCACCAAGCTGACGTCAGAGCAAATAAATGAACTTCAAACGATAACAGGACAGAGACAGAAAGAGGCACTCAAACAAATTTAACAGCGGAGCACAGTAAACACTGATTAAAACTGAAAGATATTCAACAAATCTTAAATAATAGTTGAACCGACAGAAAAGTTGAGCAATTTGAAATCTACTTTGAATGGATCAACCATTTTGATCACCTCTAAGAGTGCCCACTGTACCTTACCCCCCGTGTGGCATTGACTTAAACATGTTTGACACTAACTACAATTCTCGTTCTACATTTTAAATTACAAAAAATTATCTCCCTCCGTCCGTTTCCATATCGCTCGTTGACACTATCTGTTCGAGTCATTAGCGTCCGAGCGCTCGAACAGTACGGAGTACGCTTGGAGGGGGCTTTAAAATTAAATTGCTTTAGATACTCGTAGAAAATGTCTGCCAGCAAGTGGGAATCTGACGAGGAGATCCAGTTCTTCCGGGAGTATCTGCGCATACCCAGTGTTCATCCCAATCCAAACTACGGTGAGTGTTTTGTGGATGCCCCCACTCTCTGACTCTATGACTGTTTCGATAGAACCATGTCTGGAGTTCCTTGACCGCCAGGCGAAGCAGTTGGAGCTGCCCATGAAGGTGTACTATCCAGCCGATGAGCAGAACCCCGTGGTTGTCCTCACCTGGCAAGGTCTGCAGCCGGAACTTCCCAGCGTGCTGCTCAACTCCCATATGGATGTGGTGCCCGTGTTCCCGGAGAACTGGACGCATCCGCCTTTTGGGGCGGAGATCGATGAGGAGGGTCGCATCTTTGCACGCGGCACACAGGACATGAAGTGCGTGGGGATGCAATATCTGGCAGCCATTCGGGCTCTTAAGAGGAGTGGTGCGAGGTTCAGGCGAACCATCCACATCTCCTTTGTTGCTGGTAAGAGTCGGTTGTATAGCCACAAATCCAGAAACTATATTATTTCCAACTCAGATGAAGAAATGGGAGGCAAACTGGGAATGCGTCCGTTCGTGCATACCGACGATTTCCGTGCCCTGAATGTGGGCTTCGGAATGGACGAGGGTCTGGCATCGCCCACCGCGGAGTTTCCGGTATTTTATGCGGAGCGCAGTGTTTGGCGTAAGCTCAAATAATCCCACAATCTTGAAGAACTCTATCTCTGATATTCTCCTTCCGAAGGTGTTTACTTCCACATCAGTGGAACGTCCGGCCACGGATCTCTTCTGCTGTCCAATACGGCGGGTGAAAAGTTGAACTACATCGTGGGGAAGATGATGGCGTACCGCAAGGTGCAGGTTCAGAGACTGGAGAACAATCCCGAGCTCTGCATTGGCGATGTGACGACCATTAACCTGACCAAACTGGAGGGTGGAGTACAGAGCAATGTGGTGCCTCCGCTGCTGATGGTCTGCTTCGACTGCCGCCTGGCCCTCGACGTGGATCACCAGGAGTTTGAGGCGACTGTAAGTCTCTGTTTAGGTTTAGTGCACTGCTCTCAGGTATAACTCTCTTCTGCTTGTCGTTAAAGCTCCAAAAATGGTGTGCCGAGGCTGGTGGAGGCATTGAGCTGACTTACGAGCAGAAGCAGCCTCGAGTGCTGCCCACACCGATCGATGCGAGCAACCACTTCTGGGTGGCTTTTAAAAAGGCCACGGATAATCTGTGAGTAAAAGATATAACTCCGGAGAGGGCTCATTCCATATAATTGGTATTTTCTTCAGGGGACTCGCTATCAAGCCACAAATCTTCACTGGCGGCACTGATAGTCGATATCTGCGCCAGGTGGGCATTCCGGCACTGGGTTTCTCTCCGATGAACAATACGCCCGTGCTCCTACATGATCACGACGAATTCCTGCAGGCGGATACCTATTTGAGGGGTGTCCAGATATATCAGAAGATCATCAGCAACATTGCGAATGTGGGCTGTGTTTGTGTGTAGATTAGTCGCTTGAAAGAGCAGATATAATAAAAGTATTGTAACCTTCTACGACATCCCCTCACATGCCTATCGCTTTGATTTACGATCAAATTGCTCCAAGATAACACTTTTGTCTAGAGATAATCTTGGATAAACTTCATTGTTGCCTCTTGGATGCCTTTTTTACTCAGTTTCAACTGAAACTTTGAGCAATACGCAATGAGCGCCAGCGACTGGGAGTCCAACGAAGAACTGCAATACTTTCGGGAGTATCTGCGCATTCCTAGTGTGCATCCCAATCCGAACTATGGTTGGTATTTGGAGGATATTCCTCGATATCTTGGTAATCACATGTCTGTTCCATCAGAACCGTGCGTCGAGTTTCTAAGACGTCAGGCGAAGCAGTTGGAGCTGCCGATCAAGGTTTACTATCCAGCCAATGAGCACAACCCAGTGGTTGTCCTGACCTGGCAGGGTTTGGAGCCGGAACTTCCCAGCGTGCTGCTCAACTCCCATATGGATGTGGTGCCCGTGTTCCCCGAGAACTGGACGCATCCGCCCTTCGGAGCGGAGATCGATGAGGAGGGTCGCATCTTTGCACGCGGCACACAGGACATGAAGTGCGTGGGGATGCAGTATCTGGCAGCTATTCGGGCTCTAAAGAGGAATGGTGCGAGGTTCAAGCGAACCATTCACATCTCCTTTGTGGCCGGTAAGTATCGATCCAGCTTCTATGAAACGATCCTCTGATCAAATGACCTGCTATTCAGACGAAGAAATGGGAGGAAGGCTGGCGATGCGTCCATTTGTGGATTCCAAGCAGTTCCGTGCCCTGAATGTGGGATTTGGTTTAGACGAAGGAATCGCCTCGCCCACGTCGGAGATACCTGTGTTCTTTGCCGAGCGAACTGTGAGACGTAGGTGGATATTATGAGGTTCTTCTTTAATTTGACTAAGCTGTTGCTCTGCCCACAGGTGTGTTCTTTAAAATAGGCGGCACTGCCGGCCACGGTTCGCTCTTGTTGCCTAACACAGCCGGGGAAAAGTTGAGCTACATTCTCGGCAAGATGATGGAGTTCCGCAAGGTCCAATCTCAAAGGCTCGAAAGTAACCCGGAGCTCTCAATTGGCGATGTGACGACCGTTAACCTGACCCGAGTGGAGGGTGGAGTACAGAGCAATGTGGTGCCTCCGCAGCTGATGGTCTGCTTCGACTGCCGCCTGGCGCTGGACATTGACATCCACGAGTTTGATGCCAATGTAGGTTATCTTCTGAATGATAGTCCATATATTCATAGCTTCGTTTTACAGCTTCATAAATGGGCTGATGAGGCTGGCGGGGGAATCGACTTGGAGTATGAGCAGAAGCGGGGACACATTCCGCCCACTGCCACTGACGAAACAAATCCCTTCTGGGTTGCCTTCAAGGAAGCGACAGATCACCTGTAAGTTTTCCTTTGGGGTTTTCCATTGATGAAGGTCGGGATTGATGGTATTGTCTTTTCAGAGGCCTGGAAATCAAGCTTCAGGTCTTTCCCGGCGGCACCGATAGTCGATATCTGCGTAATGTTGGTATTTCGGCTTTGGGTTTCTCTCCCATGAACCACACTCCGGTTCTTCTCCATGACCACGACGAGTTCCTTCATGCACAAACGTATCTAAAGGGGGTGCAGATATATCAGAAAATAATAAGCAATGTAGCCAGTGTTTGATGTATATTATGTCAATAATTTTATAAATATATTTGGTTGATTCATTCATGTTGAAATATGGCTTAAAACCTTTGTTTAAATGGTTTTCTTTATCACAGAAATAATAATAATCAAAATATATTTGACATTTTACGTACCAACTTTTTACATGACGTTTACATTTACACCCAAAAGTATGCTATGAATCTGAATCGGTTAAATCGGTTGCTTCTATCGCATATGCAGGTGCCATTTGTTGCCGCCAGTGGCGGCACTGTTGCTGTTGTGATAGTTGGCAGCGCGGTCAGAAGTGGGCGCCATTTTTGAAAATGGATTTTAATTTGTGTAGGCTCGGAAATATTGTATAATTTGGGACATTTTATGCTTGGAAACAGTTCTTCTACTTGAAAGACTAATTGTGTGTGTAATAAAGAAAACGTTCCACTAGAAACACAAATATTATCATGGTGAATACCACTTCATTGCTGGAAAAGAAATATTTTAAAACATGATGACTTCGATTTTTGGTGAGAAATAGCATCGGATAATTAGGTCCTAGCGGGACAGCATTAGTAAAAATATAGTAATTCCCAAGAAACGGTAGTTGAGCTGATATTTAGACCTGTTTTCGTGTCCCTGGGAAGTGGCTACCTTTCTAAGCCAAAAAACTAAGCCAGAGTACACTAGAACCTATACCTGATCAAGCTGTTCTAGTGGCAAAGTCTCTGTCCCTTTCCCGCCCACCAGATATGGTCTAGATCCAGAATCCAACCAGGTTCCCAGCCATAATTTGGCCACCGCAACGTTGTCACACACCAGCCAGCCAGCCAGCCAGCCAGCCAGCCTGTACGGTATACCCCCAGATGGGAAAAGTTTGCTCTTTTTTTTTCGCCGGTCTTTTGTTGGTGGCTCCTTCTTATGTGTAATGTTCTTTCATGTTGCAAAACGATTTGTTGGATGCAAGATTTATGAACTTGTTTTCGCTGACAGCCGACAGTTGTTAAGGTAACACACACACGCATAGCCCGTATCTGTGTGTGTGTGCGTGAACATGCCGCCTAATTAGAAGATTTTAATTATCTGTTTTCAATCAGCTTCCATTGAGATAATGATAATGCTGCCGCTGCCTTGTTCTTTGTTTCTGTTCCGTATCGCGTAGCTCCCCCCTCTCTCTCTCGCTCTCTCTCACTCTCTGTCGCCAATCTTTTTTCTTGTTGTTGTTTTTGAGGCTGTTTAAGCCAAAATGTGGTTGACATTTCGCCGGGTCGTCGCCGCCATCCACAGTCGCTTGGCCAGAGACAGCGACATTTTGGAAGAAGGTGTTGTTGGTATCGCGGCGGCCACGCGCATGCTGCCAATAAACGCTGTCAAAGTGTCCTAAATCGATTAGAATTGATTTTGAAAGGCTCGCTGACGCTGACTCTGACGCTGACAGCCCAAAACGGACCCGCGAGCAATCATCCTCAATTCCAGCATTGTGTACAATGGCGCGGATTACAGTTGTCTGTCGTGTTCTATGGACTCCGTTGATAGCCGCCGCGTCTCCAAGTCCCAGTCCCAGTCCCAGTTGCAGTCCCTGGTCTCTGGTCCCTGGTACCCTGTTCCAGCCGAATCCCTTCCGCCGAAGCTTCAGTCGCCGCCTGATCTGGTTGCGTGTTTAAGGCCAAAGGAGGCGATGTTGCTGTCATTGACGATTTATGTCAACTGCCGCTGCGGCACAATATTCAAATTCTTTGCATTCACTCATCACTTGTCGCCAGCTCGCCGCCTGTCCTGCTCGGTCATGAGATGCCAGCCAGGGGCTTGTGGCAGGGGGATGTCCACAGAATCGTGCTACATTTATGTTGTTTCGTGAATGTTCACTCCCCTCTGGATCAGCCCTGATATCCCTCTTCTATATTAACAACGCCACTGGCTGGACACCGATGAATGCCATGAACTTTTGAATCGCTGAGCTGCAAAATAATGGGCCCTGAGAAACGGAATACCTTTCGAGGGTTGCCCGAGAGAAGGCTCCAAGGAAGGGAGCTCCTGTCAAGTAGTTTACAATCCACCCACTGGCCAAGCCTCGGGGACCGCTCCAACCAGAGCGAAACTCTACCTAGTTACCGCGCAAATTGAATTCAAAATCAAAATTTATTTAACTCTAATGGATTTGGCAAGCTGAGTGGTTGCGTCTCTGACCCACCACTTGTCGAGGAGGGCACAAGGGACAAGGGACAAGGGACAAGGGACAAGGGACACTCGCCGGTTTTGGGGCATATTCTTATCGAGGTATCTGCCGTCCCGTGGCTGGTTCGCGCGCCGCATGCCACGCCAGGCTGAGTTCGTTGCGTTACTTTGATTTGACAGGATTCATTGTCTCCGCCACTTCAATGACTTCAAGCTTACGCGCCGGCCGCCTCTTGGATCTGCCTGTCTCTCTGCTTCCTTGCTCTTGGATGGGTCTGGGACTGGGACTGGGACTGGGTCTGAGTTGGCTCTGAGCTGGATGCGTATTGACATTTTAAATGCGTCCATCACTTTGGTTTGCACGGGTCCGACGCTGACGGAATTCATTTAAATACATTTCGGCCCCAAGGGGCCAGACCCGACCCGACCATCATGCGGTAGTTTAGTGGGCGGAGGGGTGAAGGGGGGGTGGGGCAGTAAATTGGGCGAGAGCCAATCGAATGGAATTTATATGCGGCGGGCTGCGAGATGAGCATTTTCGTGGCCTTTGATTGACTTGTGTCACTTTGTCTCATTTGTCAGGCGAACGCCTTCGATGTTCATCCTGGACGCGGTCCTGTTCCCTGCTCCCTGCTCCCTGGCCCTGGCCCTGGCGCTTAAGTGCCAGGTGTCTCACTTTAGGGCACTCAATTGAAATGTTTGCCTCGCGCCTGGATGCTGGCCGCTGGCCGGGGTTCTTTGTGGCAACTAAATGACATGAGCCTGCATTCAAATGCCCATCAAATTGTTACACAGTTGAGCGGGCAGCAGCGCGCATCCTTCTGGGCAATATCCTGCCGCAAATCCCAACTCTCGAGCATGGGATTTATGACAGCTCAATAGACTGCCACGGGGGGACAGAGCAGGAGACTGAACGGAAATGTCCTGCCTGCTAACCGGAGATATGTTTCATATCCGCAACACGCTGCCCAACTACCCAGCAACGTGAGAGATTCCACATCCACATCCACATTCACATTTGTACGGGGACTACAATTGAATGCCGCAACTGAGGAGCTGTGACAGCCAAGATTTGTTTGTTTCGGCCAGCCTCTGTGGGCCATCCATCCCAAACCCCAGAAACAGTCGCCAGCGTTAAGCCTATTCCTAAACCAAAGGGTTTCCATTCAGATAATGCGGTAACAAATGTGCTCGGCCACATTTGATTGAGGCGTGTTTCC